GTGGTAGGTGGAGTGATATGGAGAGAAATACTAGACGCCAGAGGGAGGTGGAGTGATATGATGAGAATTACGAGACGTCAGAGGGAGGTGGAGTGTTATGATGAGAAATACTAGACGTCAGAGGGAGGTGGAGTAATGAGAGACGCGCTATAACAGCACACACATTAATACTGTCAACAATTGACCAACAACAATAACGGGAGTGTAAGCGACTCTCTCTCTCTCTCTCTCTCTCACACACACACACACACACCCCACACAAAACGTATTTCCTCCTTCCTTAATTGGATTATGAGAAGGCATCTACTTATCCTTAGGCCTCGGTGGCAGATTCGAAGTCATGTCCTCAAATTTCCAGATAGAGATAAGATTAATGTAACACTGAGGAGCATCTGGGAACTAAGAGACAGTAGCTACGTTAAGTTACAAACCCTCATACACCCAGAGTTCAGAGTGAGCACGGTATTTTTTGGGGTCCAGTAGCTATTGGCAGGATTGTGGTGAAGTATAATGCCATAGACAAAATATTAATGACTCCTGTGCAAACATCGGCATAAAACTATTACCATATACCAACTCTCAACCACCATAATGACCCGTTAAATAACTGATGGTGAACATACGGCTTTGAGAGATTCCCCCCTTCTTTCTCCCCGGTTGTTTTTTATACGCATTTGATTATCTTTAGTGGGTAATAATCCTTAAAATGTGAGTCAGGGGGATTAAACCCAGCTAAGAGACAACCTCATTTTCTCAGCCTCTCTCTCTCTCTCTCTCTCTCTCTCCTGGTCGACGAGGGTCTCTACACTCAACTACTACACGGTGTCACTTAATTGACCTGCCTATGTTAAAATGTTAAAGTTATTGTTATATCTTAATACTGTTATCAAAATGTTGTATTAAAACTTTGAGTTAATGTTACGGAGGTTAAATTACATAGATACTAAATGGCTGAATCTTACCATCACAATCATTCACCTACGTTGCCCTCCTAGACTACATTTTTTAAGGAAAAACTACATGTATGTGAACGTATTTTGACTGGATTAAGATTGATAAACTACGATCAAAAAATTGAATTCCTGTGAAAACTCGACTGTACATAACAGGCATGCCATTCTTACTGTCTATGGTGAGAGTAACGTCTAAGGCAGCCCTAAGGTAACTTTTATGAATCACCAGCTGGCACATGTGACAATATTTATCAAAAACTTTTTAATTTACTGCTGACGGTATTTACAGCGAGATCAAAACATTATTCATCCTTCATGATGTAGTTCCTTGTATTTACACGATATACAGCTTTACCTTCAAGTGCATTTTTAGTTTGCTTTTCTTCGTAAACATCGAGACAAATATGCAACTAAACGATGCAAAACCCCAACAATGAAATCTACAACCGATTAAAAACATACTTAAATTTTTTTTATTCACAATGAAGAAAACTGGAGTATTAACGTCACGAGGAAAGTTTGGGAGGAAGAGGGTGGGCCAGAAGTTTGCTGGGTAATATAGCGTTATGGCGACCGCCTGTGTTAAGCACCTTGGGTTTACCACCTCAGTATTAGCCTCCGCCTCCCTCCCTGGCCACGGAGGATTTGTGGCTTCTAGTCTGTGGTGAGCAAGGTTAAGTACTTTTGGGAGGGCCAAGACTTAACACCATGGGCAGAAACCCTGGGGGAGATCGCCTATATAACCATCCATTACACTTCATGTAATTCAGAATTCCCCTTTTCAAGCATCTCTCACTTATCAACAACAATCCATAATGATCCCAGTTATTACACCAGTATTAACATTATGAGATTCTAGTTACTTAATACTTGGGGAAGTCTACATGTACAGTACTGTCAATGTCCTTTTATTTCATTCACTTAAGCAGTATCATTTGCACTCGATCAATAGATGTAGTCATTATTATGTTTGAATGCCTGTACAGTATAAGTACGTTTGTATGAGATATACAGTATAAGTAATTTGTGCTGTTGAAAAATGGCCATGTCAACGTCTTACTTCACAAGCACAACACACTTTGATTCTCCTGAGACTAGACCTAAGCTAAACATGTATTCACAACTAAACTAATACACAAATTCAACAATATATTTTCTCACAGATTTTACGATAAAATACTTTTTTTTTCCTTACAGACTTTCTTGTACCAGGCACGTGAGTATTTTGCCACAAACTTGCAAAAATATACATATGCCATCATATTTCCGTACCGGGTAGTTACTATAATCTACTTTTAATAGCATGCACCGTTATTTCTTAGGAGTGAAGAAGTATAGATTTTCAGTTACACAGAAATATACTTCTAGACGTATAGAAATATATATACACTTTATAGATACAAAAATGTTCACACGACAAAGAATGTACAAATATCGAAACTCTCCTTCAATGATGAAAAATGTACGGCAATGATCAAGACAGATTTTCGATACACGCAAGTACTGGTATATTAACAAAAATTTACTACATTATATATGTAGTTTTGTTAATCATACACACGGTAATATGACATGCTATCTCTTGACGTGAACCATGATTCCAGAATTAATCAACCACTGTGTTGAAAACCTGGATGATTTTTTTTTCTGTCTGACAAACCAAAGCCACTAAGTCACTCAATCTCGTTGGCCTTTATAAATATCAGAGCAAGAGAATGAGTGTTCACGCGAGGAAGATGAGCACAGAAGAGTCATCACAAACTGATATGTCATAATAAAATGTTGAAATATTTCCAAATGAAGGATTCAATGCGCAGCCACTTAAACAAACATAACAATGGCGTAAGTAATACAACACATCTAGTTTTCAGTGCAGACAGCATGAGGTCAACTACTTCAACATGCAGACAAATTCTTATGTTTGGATTTCCCAGTCTCGAGTAGCTTTAACTTGGCTTAATGCATCCAAGCCAAATTTAGCCTTAAATATCCTGGCCTAACTTATCCTACTATATCCAAAATTATGAGACGGTATTTTAACCTAACTTGACCATAACGTACCGTAACCTATCTTGGGTTAAATAGGGTACGTTAGGATACGTTAACCTACGTGAAGAAACCTTGGTCTTATATTTGGATGCACTAGACCAAGGTGAAGTACTTCAGGCTGAGTAAGGATTGGTCAGGTAGGATTTTTTCTCGTACATAAAAATGGACTTAATGGCGGGAGGGAAGTCCGTCCTGTAAGGAGTCTAATGTCCCCTAACTTAACCTAGTCTGATGGAACTTAACCTAACTTAGCTTGATCTTGTTTAACCTAACTTCGCCTGATCTAACTTAACCTAACTTAGCCTGATCTAACTTAATCTACCTTAGCCTGATCTAACTTAACATAATTAACCTAGCGTAACTTAAGCTACACTAACCTAACTTCGCCTAACGAAATTGTACTTTTCGTTCTAACGTATCGTAATTTAACTCAACCCAACTTGTAGCTACACTCGCTGTTGTTCTGGGGGAGGATTATCCTTTGGGTATTGGTCGAATGTTATCCCTCTTTTGTGTGTGTGGGGGGGGAGGAGGTTAATCCGATGTAAAACTGGCTGGTTGGGTTCCTCCTATAGAATTTGGCTTGTGGGACTTTATACAGTGCGTGGCTCATCATCAGTCACCACTGGCGGATCCATAGGGGTCAGGTGGTTCGTGAAACCCCTCCCATATTCACTTTCCGTAAATTCCTTAGGGTTTTCTCTATATAGTATACTAGAGCTATGAAAAGAAGCGACAGCCTCCTTACATTTCTCCCTGACGTTGGAGGCAAAATACTGTATATACAAAAGACGCGTAGTCAAACACATTTATTATATACCTGAAATGTCTCTCTCCGTTCCCCCAAATAAAATCCTTGCTCCTGGGCACCCCATAAATTAAAGAAGAAAAATACAAAATCGGAATTTACTAAGTGCACATCAGTGAAAGTAAATAACAGAATAAAATAGGTTATGTTAAAGCTATACTGAATATAGGGTGGTGTATCTGATAAGGAAGTTTCCAGAAGTGATATATCGACGCCAATTATATCACAGGGACTAATAATTGTGTACTTAATTTTAACCATTTTACCAAAAGCTTAGTCTAAGATACCTGTAATATAAATAATGGACACGTAGGTAAAGAGGTGCAGTGAGAGAGTAAAAGCTCCGGAATCATCGTCAGATAAAGTATGCTCGTTACACTTCCATGGCTATAAGAGATATACCGTACAGATCTTGTTAATTATCCACTCTCTCACTTCACTTTATTTCCTCTTTCTAAATTATTATTGATACTTTAACAGCACTTCAGGTCTACCCTATTTTTTTTTCCTGTGAGCAACCCGACATGAGGTGGAAAATTGGAATGTTCCCAAGTTAACAAATTATAGCATTATCTGCGTGTGTTAGATGTACAGAGTTGATTGTGAGATTGTACTGGGCTAAGTCGAACGACATATAAACGGGAAACATCTTTCGACAATAATGATTTTTGTTCGATATAAACATATCCTGATGGCTTGTATGTACATCAGCAATTGTATCTCTTTGTTGCACTGAGCTGCTAAGTTATTAAATTGTAAACTTAATTCACGTGTTAATAGGCTTCATGGTTATATCATCTCCAACAGATATATGCACTTGCCTGCAGAACTCTCCGTCAATACTTACTCCTGTACACACACACAATTATAACTCGAAATGGGAGAACCAAAGCCCTACACTTCCTCTTAATGACAAAAGAGTCTACATCACAAACTCGACAAGTTTTCGCCCAGCTATAAAACGGTAAACGCTGCAACTTTCCAGAGTGCCTTTGTTGTGCATGATAATCAACCATGTGTACAATTTACTTTGAAATATCAACAAACAATGTGTAGGTGTACATCGTATGTTCCACACTTAATATGTCGCTGTTCTTGAAAACATGACACGGGTTTTATGCCTTTAAACAAGGCAAATTGGTTGAAAGAAAGAATATCAAGCCTTATTATCATTGCTAGTTTGTACTTACGTGTCTCATAGTTGGGTACATCCTTTCTTGACTTTGCCGTCCTCATGACTCCCTTCTTTTTAGTTAAATCAGCAGTTAATACACTCATAGTACTTTAACCCCGTCAAATTGATAGTTTTCACGGGAAGAGGACTCACAACCAACACTTCCAAACCAGCGGGGATGGATAACTGAATGAGGTATTTACAGGGAGCGAAACACCTGTCAAATTCAGACTGTCTCTATGCACGCACTGAAAAATAAAATTCCTGAACATCGTAATAATAATCCCGAATACAATAATATAATACGCGATTCTATATTGGCTTGTCTATTATAGAGTTGGATTTTATATCTGGTCTAACTAAGCGTTGCGCGCGCCATCTGTCGACATACTTGGTGCGGAAGATCAATAACTTCTGGCATTTATACTTGACGAAACTGAGATGATTGTTTACGGTGTTTCACCAACTTTCGTTCACGCTTTCCTCACCACACGAATAAGCGGAATCGTTACCCACGTGAAAAGAACTAATTAAAAGATATAAACTATATATCCTAGCATTTATAACTCATCTCTTGGTATCTGAATACAAAAAAAAACAAAAAAACAGGATAACTCACTTTGTCTGATCTCAGACAGTACACACCGGAATTTTTTAAAGAAAATGACGCAAGTTTTCGTGTATCCATGTGCTTGACTTGGAAATATAATTGAAAACAGTAAAACATATATTAGAATATAAGTACATTAATATATGGATATTCCATAGATGACGAAAACATAATAACCATAGTAGGAACAAATTCAAATAATTTTGATTATGATGAATCCCATGTCGCTTGCAATAAATGGACGAGATTGTGTTTTGGTCTTCAATGAAAGTTGACCAAGGATAATAGATTATACCTAATAACACCAACATAAAATATTTTTTAATTTAATACTGCGTTGATGATAAAAGTTACAAAGCAGTCATGGATGTATTTCTATTCCCTTTTATTATTTAGCATTCCCACAAATCATCAGTTTACTAGCTGTTCGGGAGGCCGCTTTTTTCTTGGTTACTATATCCATTGTCCAGTGTGAGTACAGGAGGAAATCAAAATACTGGAAAACCCTACCGTGTTCAGTAGTCATACTGGAAGCCCCCTTTTCACTTCTGACCTGGGGACTCAACTCGTGAACGCAGATGTGAATAAGGAGCGTCACTTTATATGGCTGAAGACAATGTTTGTATTCTGTATTAGATTATTTTTTTAAGCCTTGGGCCCTGGCCATCTAATGAAATAATCTTAAAACCTATCTTGAGAACAACTGTACTCGACTTAGCAAATGCAATAGCAAAAAGTAGAGTTTCCCATATGAGGAAATACAAAGAAAATGATCAGTACACTGATCATAGAAAACTCTTCTTTTTAAGCAATAATAAAAGTATTTCATTGTTTTGATTTTCATGCGCTTAGGCACGACAAGTATACAACAATGTCAATTATCGATTCAGCTACAGGGGGGGGGGAGGGTTGTGGATCCGAAAACACCTAAATTGCTGAGGGAGGGACACTTTAAACCCTGACAGGTGAGATGCAAATGTTGAGATTGCAGGAAGAGTGTCAGTGGGGACACGGAAGATTTAAGTGAAGACGCAAGCAAGGAACATGCTGTGGCAAAGTGTTTTGAAACTTTCGAGCGATGTAAGAATCCGACCAATTCTGGTGTGACATGATGAGATTTTACCTTGCTGCACAGTAATAATCTTAGAAAGTTACTGCTGTGTGCTCAGATTACGGAAGGTACTGTACTTTCAGCACGGTACACGGGAAAGACCCGTAAAGTGTGGTTCAATTCCGTCCCGGGACAAATGTGAGAATGGTGATTCCAGTGTGACCTTGCCAAACCAATTCCGGGCCTGGGGAGGCGAAAATATAATAATAATAATAATCATAATAATAATAGTAATAATAATTATAATTATAATTATTATTATTATTATTATTATTATTATTATTATTATTATTATTATTATTATTATTATTATTATTATTATTATTATTATTATTATTATTATTATTATTATTATTATTATTATTATTATTATTATTATTGTTATTGTTATTGTTATTGTTATTGTCATTGTCATTGTCATTGTCATTGTCATTGTCATTGTCATTGTCATTGTCATTGTTATTATTATTATTATTATTATTAAATAACAAATAATAAAAATAACCAAAAAATACTAATGATAATAATTAACACAAAAGAAAAAATAAATCAAGAGTGAGAAACGATATACAGCATGTTGTGTTGTCAATAGTAAGAGAAACAATTTAAACCCTGCAATTGTGTGTGAAATGAGGCAGAAAGTCAGATCATCAACCTGGGACTTGGTCACTATTTTTGTGATGCCATATGGCAGCAGGGTCTACTACCAAAGACAACACAACCCATTATGCTTCCAATATCTTCCCAGGTATCAAAATCACAGGTTTTATGGTGGTCATAACAAAGTAACAAAAAGCAGACCAGCCTCCCGAACGGATAGTAAGCTGATAAGTGGTGAAATGATAAATAAAAAATAAATACCCAAAAAAGTGCCAAGGCCAATGACCCCAGAGCCTGGCTGTCACATCACGCTATGATCGAAGTTCGAACGCCGGTCCAACTTGAGGTGCCGATGACCATATTTATAATAAAATAAATCGAATCGGATGAAAAATCATATTAATACTATCACAATTTGGGTGGAATGTAATATAGTATTCACCATTTGTTTGTTTAAGGGCCAATAAGGTGTCTAGAAGAATAATTGTTAAGCGTTTATTAAATGCCGACTTGGCACAAGTATCAGCTGGTCCGTCGTCTGCAGTCAGTAGTCACAACTAACATCCACCAGTCCTCTTAGGTTACAGCAGCTGACTGTCACTCTTCTAGCCATTATATTTGGAGGTAAGTTAATCTAAAACATTTTAGGGCACAATGTGAAGGTAATTAATTGTATGGCAAAAGATTTCGAGCTCAGAAATGCAATTACTACCGATTTGACGAGATGGGGAACGTTTTTTTGTGATTTTTTGTTTAGTTTTAATGGATTCCAAGAAGCCCCCAGACTATTGTAGAGTTTTATTTAGATTGCCATTCAAAGATTTTCTGAACATTTCTTCTAGATATTACAATATTTATTTAATCACAAAATTAGACTGGCATTTCAAAAATGGGAAAACTATTGCATAATAGAAAGGGGAAAATAAATTATGTAAGGTTAGGTAAGATTTTTTGTGGGGGTTAGGTTGTGGGCCAAGTTATACTGTATAGCCAACCTTACCCTTACTGGTTCTGCCACATCTTTTTACTTTTACATTTATCCTCTTTGCCACTGATTGGCTTGTTAGCCACTTGGGCGGGCGGTCACGTCTCTGTTACACACTGTTGGCAGGTATGGGCATGCACTGGCTCCTGAATGTATCTGTACCTGCTCCAGTGTTGGACTCAACCAAAAGACACAACATCTTCCATCACTTTCTGATTCAAGTTATAAAGTACAGTGTACTAGCATTATTAAGGTAATGACCAGTTTTTTTACTGTAAGTTTAAGCTAAATCAAGAAAAGCTGCAGTTGAGGTTAAGTTTTGTCATCTTCTTCAGTAGAGTGCCTTTTGTCCTGTGTTCAACTCGCACTTACTCTAACCTAACTCAGAGCATTGAAACTTGGTTTTTTTCAGTTTTTTAATAAACTCTTATCTTTTTCTTCTTTTAATTGTTGTGTCAATACCATAGGTTAGACTGGAAATGTGAGAGAAAATCAGTCTTTCCCTCTGGATAATAAATTTCAATACTGGATAAGGTAGTGTCTAGAATGTCTCTGATTTATTCATGGTAGTATTGCAGTAATGAGCTTTTCTCTCACTTTTATTTCCTGGGTTCGATCTCTGACTCGGGTCAGATGTGAGAAGGGTGTTATCCAGTGTAACCCTACCAAACATCACAGGTTTATTCTGGATACTCTGGTTTCCTCTTGTACTAACACTGAGCAGAGAAAGTCATAAAAAGTCCAGTACAGTACTAAGAACAGACCGACTACCTGAATGGTTAGTAAATTGATCAGTGGACAAAATGTTTTTTAATGCTTGAATCATAGAAAGTATATTTAAAAAGGGAACAAGTAAAGAAATGCCTTGAATTCACTTAAGAAGCAGCTAGATCGCTACTGTCTCTGTGTGTAGCAAATAGAAGCAAATGATAATTTTTTATTTTAACAAAAACACACTATTAATCATTGCCAAACTTTTGTTAGTTCCTGGTAGAATTAGAAAAATTGAGTGATGGATTGTTTCAAATTACCAGAGCTACTTGCACTTCAAGACATAAATAAAATAAATCTTTTCTCCCCATTTAATTTGAATTCTTCCTTGATTCTTCCTTCCTTCTTCTGTTTGGGTTCATTCTTAGCATAGCAGGACTGGAAATTCCAAGTAACCATTGATAGACAAGGTAAGATTATCACATGTTAATGTAGCACCAAAACAAAGGGTGGATCCAGGTGGGGGGGGGGTCCTGGGGGTCTGGCCCCCGCATATCACTTGAAAAATCCAGTACATTTTCTTTAATGCAGTATTGTACTCAGTCATTTTTGTATAGTAAAAAGTGTTGACTTCAGAATATCCCTGAATATATCAAGTGTACATGGCTTCAAAATGACCATGATATTGGTCAGATTTTAAAAAAAATTCTGGGGGCACTATCCCCCCCAGCCCTCCTTTTGGGTAGGCTCACTGTTTCGCCATGTACCCCCATCCACAACTTCTTTGACCCCTCCCCCCCTTTGATATTCCTGGATCTGCCCCCGAAAACCCTTTCATCTCTCAGCCCTTTGGGGAAACTGTTTCTTTTAATCTACCACCTAGCTATCATGTGGGTTCAACCCCAGTTTCAAACTTGTGGACTTGGTGGAATATTTTAAATAGGTAAAATGGGACTTCCAATGTTTAATGTGATGACAGTGTTGATGTGTATCAGCACTAGTACAGTATAGTCTGCATTTACGCTGTCAATTGAACCCGTGGAGGTCCGCGTAAAACGAGAAACGCGTAAACGAAATAACAGAACATATGGAATTAATTGAAATAGAGACTGGGCCGACCCCCAAACTCCACTTTTTCCGACACAATACGTACGTTGTAGTAAAAATAACATCTTAATTTTATGATGGTATGCACACACAATTAATATTTAAGAGAAATATAAATAATATTAGGTTTTTTAACACTTATGTTAGTAGAAAAGATGGCTGGGCACACGGGGATGGGGGGTTAGTTCCGAGGCAGAGGGCAGATTATTGGCCCTCACCTGTATCAATTGTATCACTATCCACCACATAGGCTTGCAGGGCCTCTTTGTCAAACCCCTCAAAGTCCATATCCTCACTATCACTGACTTGGGCCGGCTGTGGTGGGTGGCGGGTGAAGAACTTGGTAATGTTTTGATGACTGGGCGACCTTGTGTGCACCCTGCCCGCGCCGCTTCCCGCGTAAATGATTAAATTTACCGTGTAATTGAAACATTTAATTCTGGCAAGGTGCTGCGTAAATGACCAAACGCGTAAACAAAAACTGTGTAAATCCAGACTATACTGTATTGTAATGGGTTAATTTTTACTGGCTGATTGTAGTTAAATCTTGAGATAATCCTTTTTATGTAGTAATCTAAGAATAAGATACTGTAATGAAAAAAGGATTTATTTTGATACACAGATGTAGATATCTCTTGTATTGTATTATGATCCCAATGTCACTTTTGATATCTTTGCTTAATCACTAGGCTGTTCTCTTATCTATTTTCTCTACACTGTAGGTAAAGCTGTTAAGATGTGTCAGAGAAAGAAGAAGCAGCCCCTTGCTACACTCCCATATCATCGTGCTCCAACTTTCTTAAGATTTAATCCTTTCATTAAAAAAGGATATCGTTCAAACTTGTCAACAGCTCAGTGTTTTCACAGGTAAATGGATTTTTAAATAATTTACTAAAAGCAAGTTATGTAATGTCTGTGCTAACTCTGGTTTTAGTCTTTGCTATATTTCTTCAATAATCATTGTTATCCATTACAGGGTATCTTATCTTTTTAAAGTATTTCTTAGTTTATAAAATTTATTTCCAATTCCAAATACATACTGTATTATGTTCAGAAATGTTTAACACACATTCTTCTTTCCCTCATACACAACCAGTATACAGTACTGTACTGTACAGGCATTCGTCATCATACACACTCCCACTACAGTGGAACTTCCATATAACAGACGTCTCTCTCCAAATAATTTGTTAGTTGGGGGTCTCTCATATTTATAACAGATCCTTGGCATACTGGACATTCAACTCTATATAATTCATTAGATGGAAGTTTCACATATAACGGACCCTCAATATAATGGACTTTCCTCTCTTTATAGTCTGTTAAATAGAAGTTTCACTGTATATGTATTTTCACTTATACAGTACTGTACTGTACTTAGTACTGTGCTGAATTGGTGAACACCTTTCATTATGCACTACTGTATGTATTGTAACTGATAGCCATTTTCCCCTGTCATGCAAATTTCAAGCTACTTTGGACTGCACCACTCAGCTACAACATGTGCTGCTCAACAGAATAGGGTTCACTGCACAGGTACTATTCTTTGCCAACCCAGGACATTAGGTCAGGGACTTGTCTTTTGTATGAAGTGATTTCTGTTGATGAAAATTTTTATCTTGAGCTTTTTTTATATGAACGTAATCCCCATCTAAGAGTGTCCTTTTCAGTCAGTCACTGGTCTGGGCTCTTTATAGTTTAGGGAGGAGGTACACATGGAAGCAATATTGGCTTTTGCACCACTGTCCATTTTCTCTGTGAGGGGAACCTTTGAGAAGTTGTGGAGTGAGATAAAACATACTGTGCTGTACTGCAAAAGAGTCAAAATCATTACCTGTGGTATCTAAAGTTACTCTTTTGTTCTGTTTTATTATTATTTTAATTTTTTTGGGCGAGTATTCATTGGATTATACATTAGTGATGTTCTTTATTGATTTATTATCTTTTTTTATACTTAGTTTTTGTAAGTTTTGGTTGCATGAGGAGTCTGAAAACCAGTCCCCAGGAATGTATCCTCCTTTCATAAGTATGTCTGTGGGAAAAACAGTTTAACTAAAAAAATTTTTGCTTTACACTCATCGTCCGTAGAACACAACTGCTTTGCATAGGGAGGACTACCTGTATATATGTATACCCTCAAGTACTAGCCTAGTTGTGTTTGGTTGTTCTGTTATGCAATGGCAGGCAGTCACCAGCACACAAGTTTTGGCAACACCTATCTCTCATGAGGTTTCTGTAAGGATTAATCCATTTTCCTTTGACTGAAATGCCTTGGAACATTTTGATCTGTTCTTGTCACTCACTAGAATATTACTGTAATGAATAACTGCTGCAGTTCCAAGGAATTATTTTTGGTCAAGCAAGATTTGGTTTCTTCTTTTGCAGCTTTGTCAGAATCCTTATTAAGTTTCTTCCCTGTTGTTAAGTCAGGGGGTGGGAGAAAATGTCAACAGTCTTGTTCCTCAATTTGCTAACTTCAGTTTGGATGAAACTTAGAGGAAGTGTTCTTTATATTGTACGAAGGATGATGTCAGTAGCAAGATTTTACATGGCGTCCTTCAAAATTGGCATAAGACAATTAATTTCTTTTGGAAGCATTTGTAATTATTTGTTGGGTTATTTATTTCTTTTTTCAATCAGTGCGTTAGATATCGATTCATGGTCATAAATTAAGAGCTTCTTAGGTATCTTGGAGATGACTGTCAAAAGTTACTGTCACAACTGGGCTGCACAGCTATGGCTCAGCAACTCAGAGGCATCACACTATTGAGAACCTTTCCAAGGATTTAGTCAAGACCATTCTGTAAAATGGGTAGGTGCTAACAGCTTAGACTTAGTTTAGCTGATACTGTACCTAGAAATAAACATCATTTGAGCAGATGCAAACCCTGCCTCTGAACTATTTCCATGGCAGAATAAATATCGAACTAGTAACACTTTTATTGTAAATTAATGTAGTCACCACTGGAGACTATTTCATTTCATCTTTTATTTTTAATACCCTGAAAACCATTATATAATACCCTGTACAGTATCGTTGTTTGAACTCTTACCTTGGCAACACTTGGACACTTAGGGTGTGATTTGCACCAAGAGTTTATCACGTGGAGCTTGTCACTTTTTTTTTTCCCCCTCACATATTCGCCACTTATCAGCTTACTAGCCGTTTGAACGGTCTATCCAGTGTTAGTACAGGAGGAAACCTGTGGTGTTTGGTAGGGACACACTGGATAACACCCTTCTCACGTGTGTCCGGGCCGAGGCTCGAACCCTTGGCATATTGGTGAGAGTTATGCACGTTACCGCTCAATTAAGCCTACCAAACGTGGTCAGATCCATAAACCCATTCTCAAGCTACTTTGGGGACAGACAGACAGGACCAAAAACAATATCCTGCCATGCAGTTACAGTAATTACCGGTACACTCTGTGGTTTTAGAATCTGTAAGGTGAGGTATTATACCTAATTCTATCTGTATGATTATCTTCCCTTGTAGGGTGCATGTCACATTAGCACTTAGAGCTTAATTGACTGCATCCTCCCTGTATTTGGCAGGTTTCTGGTCCATGAATTGCTGAGGACAAGCATAAGGCCATAGTTGGAGGATAGATTTTGAAAATATCATTTTATGACTGAGTCTAGACAAAGCAACTTAGTTACCATCTTTTCTCCCCAGGGCCTGGGAGAGACATGTTAGGCTCATGTGCTACTTTGGTTCTGGGCTCCTTAATTATCCCTTCCTTTTTTACATCCCCAACCTTATTGTCCTTTAAATTCGTCCTGTCGAGATATTACAGTCAATTATCCTAGTTTTAACACTTTGAAAGCCATTTGACTTTCTTCTGGTATCTGATCACTCAATTGTACTTCATGACTTCATTAAATTGGCATTTTGAGGGGAGGAATTTTTTTTATTAATTAATTTGCACTATTATATCATCCAAATATTAAAAACTATTTACACTTTATTTATTCTCTGCTGTACTCCTTAGCCTGTGTCCTACGGTGGATGCAGGTTAAAACTATCCTGTTGCTGAGGGTTTTCATGAGTTTTATCCCTGTAGACTTGGTGGATAAAACTACTAAACTTGTTTGTTGCTTTAGTCTGGACTGGGTCATAAAATAAGATTTTTTTGATCCTCCTTCATTTCTTACGATAATTATGTTAAATTTTTTTACTTTTTACTTTAATCCTCTTATGAGGCTTTATATTAAAAAAATATATATATATACTGTACTATATGATTTTAATTTTACCACCATCTTGAACTTGAAATTTAATATTCTCCACTAATTTTCAGTGTCCTTTCATGGAATAACGAGACATTAAACATATGGTCTCACCTATTTGGATTTATTGTCTTCTTCGGACTCTTTGTGTACGATATGACTGTAGTTTTCTACAAGTACAAAGGCACTGAATATGATGCCATTATTGCATCATTTGTCCTCTTCTGTTTCATGGTAAGTAAAACCATAATACTGGAGTAGCAAATCCTGTGCAGTACTACATTATAATGAACTAATGCAGATTTTGAGTTTGTATTACAGCTTCTGTATATATGGCAATATTATCAGCATTTTTATCCTAACATACACATCACATAAAAAGAAATACAGTATTTCAATGTACAGGTTGACAATCCCTTATCCGAAATCCTTGAGACCAGATGCATTTCGGTTTTTGGAATTTTTCGGTTTTCAGAATGGTTAGGTTTATATATATATATATATATATATATATATATATATATATATATATATATATATATATATATATATATATATATATATATATATATATATATATATATATATATATATATATATATATATATATATATATATATATATATATATATATATATATATATATATATATATATTATGTATATATATATATATATATATATATATATATATATATATATATATATATATATATATATATATATATATATATATATATATATATATATATATATATATATATATATATATATATATATATATATATATATATATATATATATATATATATATATATATATATATATATATATATATATATATATATATATATATATATATATATATATATATATATATATATATATATATATATATATATATATATATACACACAGGGATCCCCACGGGCACAGGTCACTGACCCACATTGGGACCTGGGGGCTAAAATATAATAATAATTATAATTTTAATTATAATAATAATAATTATAATTATAATACCTGTAATAGTAATACCGGGTAATAATAATTCATAGGTCAAGGTCGTGTTTCTCACTTTTGATCTTTTTTTCATTCTTGTATTTCTTTATTATTATTATTTTATTATTACAGTGTTATTGTTATTATTATTTTTATCATTCTTATTTTATTTTTGTGTATTTTTTATTAAAAATTTTATTTACTCTGAATAATTATTATTATTACTGTATTATCATTATTATTATTATTATAATTATTATTACTATTACATTTTCACCCCCCAGGCCCCGATGTGGATCAGTGACCTGTGCCCGGGTGGGCTAATACCCCCCCCCCTCCCCAAAAAAGATTGCTCCACAAAAAACTTTCGGTTTTCAGAGCTTTTCGGTTTTTGGAATTTCGGGTAAAGGGTTGTCAACCTGTAGTTCAAAATGAAAAGTTTGAATATATGACACACGTAGAAATATAGTACTGTACAGTACATGTAATCTTTATTCCCAATAAATTTTTCAGATATGTATGCTGCTGTCGTCTCTCTACCACACCTTGAATTGTCGCTCTGAAGACTCGTGCAGAAAATGGCTTTCCTATGATATATTTGGAATATCAGCATCTTTTCTGGCTATCTTTCTTAGTGGCATATACTATGGATTCTGGTGTCCAGAGGTAAGTCTGTACTGTTTTTTTAGTAATATACACAAAAATTATTAAGAGATGGTATAATTAGCTATATTTTGGTCACTTCGTTGTTTGTCATGTTGGCCAGAAATGATTCGCCCCTCTTACTGCATGTTTGGAGACCTGCCACTCCTCAATCATTTAAGAGTAATCTTCATTTTCTACTGTCTAAAGAGAAGAAAAAGATTATTCAAAACTATACCTAAAAAAGGGTTGAATATGAATAATGACCAAGGGTTTGTGTACATTTTAGGATTTTAATTAGATTTAATCTCTCATTGCAGTGTTGTTATTAAGATTAAATTTTTCAGTATCTCACTCATCGCTATGTATACATGAGTTTGGTGTGTTTCCTGTTCACGGGAGCTATGGCGTTTCTTTTAACACCTAGGTAAGAAATATAAAATTTAAGTTATGCCTGTTTACTGTGAAAACCATTAGGCCTTCATTGTGTTTAGCAGAGATCATACACAGTACAGGTTCAGCTGTATACTGATGATGTGTTGATTGGTAGAGAGAATGATGAAAGTTTAAATGACTGTACAGTAAGTATATACTGTATGGTACATTTGATTATATATGGAGGAAAATTAAAGGTAAGGTGAGAATGGGAAGTGTTAGTTTGGGAGATAAATCAGTTGAGGAAATAATTAATATGCCCTGTACTGTACTGTATGCAGACTTGCAGTACTGTAGTGTGTTTGTTATACCATATATGAATCACTGCTGTAGAGCATTGGAAGATTTATAGGATAAAAATGGATTTGTTCTCTGAACTTCATAAATTTCTGTGGTATACTTTTAAAAGAATAAATTAGGGTTTAAGTAATTGTTTAAAAATGTCATTATAATATTCTTTAAGAATCTATCCCAGAACTTACTTGCTTACTTCTCTTCTCCACTGTGCTTTGCAGACTGCTGGGAGAAGAGTGGGAATGGGCTCGAGTAACTCTTTTCAGTGTGTGGGCAGCATCAGGACTCCTTCCAACAATCCATTGGACAATCCTACATGGCGGCATTGATTCTGGCATCGTACAGGTATGGCCACCAGTAATCTTTAATTTTTATTGTTCATTCAAAAATTCATTTGAATGCTTTGAAAATTTGCAATGTTTTCGACTATATATGATTCACTTTTTTGCCCACCAAAAAAAGAATTTCTCCCAAAATTACCCTGCATCTTGTATGCTGAGGGTTAACCCTTTGATGTCAGTTACCGCAGGGTCCTGCTTTTTTATTTTCACACGGTATGTTTTAACTAACTTCAGTACTGTACTTGCTATGTTCTTCCCCTGAGGCTCAGAGGGCTTCCATGGATTTGCAGAACCCATGCAGCAGTGTTGTACGCGTCAACGAAAAAAGTGGCACCGCCAGCGTCAGCGTAAATGGCCGAGAAATTTGATGCCGTCAGCGTCGGCGTAAATGATTTTATAAATTGACACCGTTAGCATCATTGTCAACACCTAGCATCAACAAGTTTTCAGTGATGTACAAATGCAGCCCCAAAATGCGTATTCTCCTGTGTATGGGAGTAACATGCCGGGTATGCAAAATAACAAAAAAAAAAATTAATTTTTAATCATTTATTATGATTTATATTACATCATTTTAATTGTATTCATTTGTTCCCCCGGAAGAATACTAGCATCTCAAAATGCTTGTCGCTCATTCTGCAGCTCTTGGGCCTCAAGACGTCCTTGCCCATGGAGAACATGCACTCCACGGCAGCACTAGAGGGATGGGGGTGTTGTATTTGATGAGCAATTCCCTCATGGCCTTGTTGGGGAAGGTGTCCTCGTCGAAAGATTTTTTTGAAGGTTTCTCCCCCAGGAAACGCTTGAAAAGGTCACTGTCTTTTTCATTCCTGTGGGGGGTCTAGTACAGGGTCTGGAACAATTATTCCTCCACGTCATGGTCTTTGTCGTCTCCCTCACTGCTGCTGCTGCTGCTCTCAGTCTCGTGCACGGACTTCTCCACCAACCTGGACAGCTGGTTGGTGGCCTTTTTCTTGACTTGAAAATTCAAATCCGTAGAAAGCTGCGCAGGTGCGCGGGCGGTGGGCACGGCAAAATTTTTCCCGGTCGTCTTTATAACAAGATAATGGAAAATCAAACTTGGAAAAATCGAAAATTTTAGAAGTTGATGAACAAATTGATGCTCCGCTTGGGTGAAAAGTTGACTGCATCACCTGTAGTGCCACCTGCCCAAAAAATTTATGGCGTCAGCGTGAACAAAAAGTTGCCGCCGTCCATTGATCGCGTTAAATTAACGGCGTCAATGTACAACACTGCCATCCAGCTCGTGTTTTTATTTATTCTTTTATTGTTATTCAAATGGTATAAAATTATTAGCTAATATATATTCTGTACCTGCAACAATCAACCATAATATTTGGCTGAAAATATACTAGTTGAGGTTAGCAAGGTAATATTTGTGCCTAGAATATTTGTATGTATTATATGAATGGGAGTTATTTTTATAGGTATACAGTCCTATTATTATCCCCATTTTTGGAAAAGACAAAATTCTCTAATCTTGGGTGCTCCCCACCCCCTCCAGGGAATGCATCTATCAAAATCAAAAGGTTAACTTCAGGGGGGTGTGCTTGCCAGTACAAAACTAAAGTCCAAACTATCCCATTTAAGACATTGGTTCCCAGATGACCTTAGAGTGAAATATAAATGCAAACATAAAAGTCCAAAATCGATAAAACTATGACCTACATGCATATACTCCACCACTTTCTAGCTTACTAGTCGGTCGTGCGGTCAGTGCGTTTTCTGTTAAACACTGTTGGCAAGTTCTGGACATATAAAAACTTGAATGATAATAATAATAATAATAATATTTAAACTGCATATCCAGTTTAGCATGAATATAGACAGAGTAGTTACACAGTGTATGTGTGCCATGCAAGTACAGTACTGTATATGGTTTCCTGTGTGCCAAGACAGTGCAGCTATACAACAATGTTGAACAGTATGCCAATTTGACACAAGGATAGCCAACAAATCTTTCAGGTGCTTATTTTCGAGAGGATCCTTTGCTTAGACTAAGCTTGGTCTTTAAATAGTAATAGTAAGTCTACAGGAGAAATAGTAAAAGTTTTTTGATAAATTCAACAAACATTACATTATACTTGGACTATCTGAGGTGGCGGATCACTTCAAGGTGCCAGTGTTTACTTCCTTTTATTTGATTTTTCTATTTAGCATTTCACCACTTATCAGCATAACTTGCAGTTGTCAGTGGTTCAGGACTGGCCAATACCCAAGCCCTAGTCAAGTCCAGATTGTGTCACCTGAGGATGATGATACACTCGTGTACCGGTATGTTTGGTGATGTTAGATGTCCAGTTCCATTAATAAGTATCAACTAAATACAGTGTTATGAATATTTTAATGAGCTTATTCACCAGTTAGCAGTTAATGTTATTGAATAGCATCTGTCTTAATCATGAAATTTTTGTCATACAGTACTACAGTAGTATACTGTATTTGTTTTCTTCACAACATTGTTTATATCCTGTAATAAATTATTTATTATATAAATACATAGGCCTAAAAAAGTTCTGGCTTTTTGGTTGCTTAGAAGCATTTCTAAGATTTGACAAATAAAAAAGTGTCATGGAGGTAATGGTAGAATATTGGAGACTACAGTAATCCTTAATATTTTCAGCACCAGTAAAAATTTTAGCTTTTATGATGAACGTTATCATGTACTGCACTGTACAGTATTTCAATCCAGGGCATATGTTTCATTTCCATGAAGATTTCTAAGGTTGTTTGTGTTGCTGTGAATTGTTAATTTTATTATTATAATTTATACCTACACCTATTTATGTATGCCTGTGCAGTGTGTGTACACTAACACATCTGAGTACAGTATGATACACAGTACAGTATCTCTGTTGACACTGGTTCACATACATACTGTATCCTCCTACCCTGGCCATTTTCCCTTTACCTGCCTTATAATATGTGTGGTTTAGACTGCTTGTGCAGCTTTGTAATTCATTTTTTCTTGTTTTGTAATTAGAAAAGTGTCTTGTAAAAATGAAATGTTACTATTTCATTCAGCTGGTTTTAATTGTGATTATATTGATTTTCAGGGACCGGGAACTTGTCCCGCTTTTCCTTGGAATCTTCTCTATCTTTGTCTGGGTAATGCTGTGACTAGTCCGAATAAGAGGGGGATTTACAGTAGTGGACTGTTAAAAACCATCATTCATACCTTTTGTTCATTCTACCTGTACATCAAACTTATTCATTAAATCTATATTTACTCCTTTGTATTTCCATCAGTTCTTGAATTGTTTAAGTATTTTCATTAGGAATCTGGTGATAAACTCCCTTTAAATGTTCATTATTCATTTGTAAACCTCATTAGTTATTTTCTATGGTCCAACCTTTATTTTCTCTTTCAGATTTTCTTGCCACGCATCTTTGTTATGTATGGCATCAGTGGTACTGCTGTGATTGTTTATGTATGGAAAGTTCCTGAAAGATATTTCCCGGGTAAGTTGTCTGTTTTTTATCTAAATCAAAATGGGAACTATGTGGGCACCTGTGCTGAATTCAGGGCCATAGCCAGAATTTCAATTTTTTTTTTTAAATTTGGCCATTAAACAAGGTACCGTACACTCAGTGTCCCCTCAACATACATTAAGTTTAAGTACATCTACAGATATGTACATTTGATAAAAGTATCATATGTCTGAGCTAATGTACGTAGATCTGCAGATACTGTACTTAAACTGCAGGAATCATTAGGAGGTAGAATTAGCATGGGATGTTGGTACTGTACTGTGATATTGAAGCCAAAACTACCATGAGCCCAGTGCTATTAGTTGGGCTTACATGCCTTTGGGGTTATTTTTTTATGATTTTTTCTTGTACAAATGATATTGTATTTATGTGTAGAGACTAACTATGTGCATGGTTGGTGTCTCAGTGTGGAAAGTGGCTGTCATCATCATCATCATTGTTGGTTAGCCATGTTTATATGATGCAGCTCTCTATGCTGCACGGTCTCTTGCAGTTTCTCATGTCAGGTTGTAGACTCTAATGTCATTTCTTACACCCTCTTCCCATGTTATTCTTGACCTACTCCTGTGTGCTTTTAACACGCTTTTGGTAGTTATGAGCTGCCTCTTCATTGCTCTTGTAGTTCACCTTTCTCAATCACTATAGTACAGGAATTGTTATTATTACCACCAGGTACTAGATCTGTGACCATAATTCCAGTAAGCTAGCCAAATATGTATTTGGTTGTTATTGGGTATTACAGGAAGGAAGTACGGTATACCGTAATTAAACCAGAGTTTAAAAAAATAAAAAAAAATCTTGTTAAATTGGATAAATAATATAATAAAAGGCTAGATATATAGCAGTACCTGATTCGTGATTTGTTAACTTACAAAATTTTTGAGTTTGTGAACATCACCTCCCACCACTAACACCACATATGGAGGAGGTATGCAGATGTTTCTACAGTAGGGGCCAGCGGAACAAGTAATCAGTAAATTAAAATTCAGTTTACTAATCAGTCTTAGATTGAGCCTGAATTTTTTATTGAAGCCTTACTAACTGTATAGAGTTGCCTTAGACCAATTCATATAGAAAACATAAATTTGGGATTAATCTTTAATGTTTTTTAGAGATAATCAATATGTAATAATGCATAGAAAGTTGGTCTATTGTAGAATGCTATGACTTTTATTTCCCCAAAAGTAGATCACTGCAATCTATACATCAACCACTGGCCTGTTATTGATTGTAGTATGTTGTGACCTAATTGTTTCAAAAAGTTGGTTGCAGTGATATATTTTTGAAGAGTAAATATGCATCTATAAATAATTTGGCCTCGAAATATTGTTGATGTAGCATGTTATAGCCAAAATTGTCCTAACTGCAGTTCAGAGTGATCTACTTTAAGAGAGTTGTTACCGGTATGTGTTATCTATGGCCATGTAATTCGGCACCTGGTAACATGTTGCTTTTGTGAAAAAAGCAGTTGGACTTGAACCCTAATGTAACCTATACATCCCCCAAAATAGATCAGTGATTTAGTTTTCTTAAAGATGACCAAGTATTGTTAGATTATACCCATTAAATTTGTACAGTACAGTATTTTTTTGATTTAACGAAGTAATTTGAGCCACCCCTTTCTGTTAAATCGAAATTTCCACTAAATCGAATTTCCGCTGTTTGATTTAGCGAACTACTGTACTTCACTAAATCGAGCATGATTCTGTTAAATTTTGCGCCACATGTGCCATTTATCGAGTGGGGTTTGTTTACATCCACTCCGTCTATTCTGCTACCTCTCGGTCAACTAACTACTGTGCTTAGACATCATACCAAAAGTCTCGCGGAAGTCTCAAAAAGGAAGTGGTGTGGAGGAGAATGTCAAAGGAATGTGGCTATCAATTAGAAAAAAGTGTAGAAATAATAGAAAAAAGTTTAAAACAAACACCGAACCCCCTAGTTTAAGGTAAGCCATGAATAATAGTTCTATGTACATATCATGTGTCTGAGGTGTGAGCGTATTAACAGAATTGATCTCGATTTAGCGAACTAGTTCACTAAATCGAGTGAAAATTCACGGAAATAATTCCTTCCGCTAAATTAAGAGTTCGTTATATCGGATTCCATTAAATCGAGAGTATACTGTATATGATATATTGTCATGTATTAAAACTTATAGTCAACAGTTTAATGTGTACTTAGAACTTTGAAGGAAAGCTTAGTGAAATGTGCAAGTGAGAAGATAACTATAAATTCCTCTCGTGAGCAAAGTAGATATTTTTTCCAGTGAAATAGCTGGTAATACTTCAGATCTCAAGTATGGGGAGGATAATAATAATAATTAATATTTAGTCAGTTTGATCAAGAACAGATGACAAAGCCATGAGAGGCTTGCTTCCAGTAGTCCTTATGCCAGCAGCATCTGGTGTTCTTAGGGCCAGGCGATCACCCATCCAAGTACTTACCAGACCCAACACTGCTTAACTTCGCTGATGGGACATGAAGTGGTGCTTCCAAACGTGGTACAGTACTACATATAGTTAAACATGCAGCAAAAGTTTTCTTGTAATTACACTTACATATTAATTTATGTACAGTATACAAAGAAACATGGAATCAGGTATAATTAAATACACATAAATTTTACAAGGATTTTAGATGATGCTAACTTGATAAACACCATAACAAGAGCACTACAGTGGTCATGTATGTAGGTGCACATAAAGTATGTAATTTTCAGAGTATGGACCTACATAGTATCACTGATAAGAGTGGAATAACAATCACTGTTCACTAATAAGAGCACATACTGTACTGCAATTTCATTATTAGCACTAAGGTTGAAAGGGTCACTTAGAAGAGAGAAAAGTACAAATATGACTTGGCAATGGGTAGTAGTAGAAACAAGTGGTGAGAGTTGATGTCTCACACACACAGGCTTGGAGATGCTGGACAGGGGATGAGTGAATGAGTAATAATGGTTGAATATGCCGGTTGGCAGGGCATTATAAGATGCCCTCACCTGGAATTTTGACAGGCTATATCATCAGTTCATTTGCACAATGGTGATTGGTCAAAAAGTGATGCTATGGTGTGTGACAGCTTGCAGGGTGAGGAAGAGAGTAGAGAGGAAGGCGCCGACTTCATGGGAGATTTATGCTCCCAAGAATTTATGGTGAGAAGATGAGACAATATATTAACACCAAGTTCGAAAATGGGGATATAGCATAAGCTCTTCTGTACTTAGTGAATGCAAGCTGATAAATCTAGATTGCTTTATCCCATCTGTGTTGATGGAATAGAATTTAATTGACTGTTTCTGGCCAGTTGTAGGGTTATAGAAATGTTATCTTTCTTCCATGCTCTAATGTATAATGACAGTTTCACACAATCGCATTCTTGTGCTTTAATATTTTACTTGTTACTGACTCTTATAACTTGATTTATTGTGGAATCATTTATATAATTTTTTCCTCATAAAAATTTTCTTTCACTTTTCTCCTTCATAATTTTATGCATTATTTTTTACGTTTTGTACTGTCTGCATATATCCAACAATCTAATAAAGTATATGACACTTTACAGGTCGCTTTGATTTTGTTGGAGCTTCACACCAGCTATGGCACGTGATAATTGTTGCTGCTCTAGTACACTGGCACCAAACAGGCTTGGAGTATGCTCGGTATAGGCAAGCCTATGGATGCAACACAAGTATGATATTTCCATGAAAGATTTGCCAAAGGATATATTATTAAATGGAATTTCTTTAGCAAGACATTGCACCAAAAATACCTTGTACTGATATTTATTAGCAGTGATTACTGAATTAATATCTTCTCCCACATTTTCATTATATTTGTTACATAATATATACACAAATACTCAATTTATTTAAGTACGGTATTATGACAGCTGTATTTATGGTTGCTCGATCTTACTGTGATAAAGATACTGTAAAAAATGGAAGGAACTGTGGCTGTAGATTTTATACATACAGAGTATAGAATTGATTATGAAAACTTTTGGTGCTCAAAAGCCTCTTCATTATTACCAGTAAGATTGCTGTTGATAATCAAATTTAACAGTCTTCCATGATATGCCTACCTCAGAACTTCTGATTCTGATTAAATGATAACATAATATGAAAATTATAGATGCAAAATATGACACATTACTTCCACCTCCTCCCCTATATTTTTTTTCTTATGGGGTTATATATTAAATGTATGAACTACAGTGCATACAGTGGGGTATGCTATAATGAATCTAATTGGTTCTAGAACCTTGTTCGTTATAGCATTCGTTCGTTATAGGATTAATCCGTTCCAGGCCCCCAAATACAACCACTTAACACTGAAAAATATAATATAAAATTGTAAAAATTTTAAAAAAGTGCATAAATATGCATCTAAACCCCTGAAATAAAGAATATCATTAATATTTGTAATAAAAAACAATAAATTAGAAAAAAAAAAAATTTAAATAATGTTCGTTGTAGGAGTTTCGTTCGTTATAGCATTCTCAATTTTATAGGTAAAACCGTTCGTTATAGGAATATTCGTAGTAGGATCCGTTCGTTATAGCATACCCCACTGTATATAAAACTTGCTCCTCATAAACTAACATGTCCCTATATTTAGTAAAAAAAAATGTATACATGGCATTTAAGATATTTTGCATCTATGATAACCATATGTGGATGTATTAACTGAAGACAGGAAGAATGAATGGTCTTGTTTTTTTTGTATGTTTTCCCTACAGTAGATTTAAGATAATAGAAATATGTAATGTAGTTGAAAGTACCAGTTTATAACAAAATCAGTGTGAGTTCTGGAGGTTACTACTGTAGTAAGATAACAGTAGCTGTAGTCAAAGTTATATTAACCATATACAGTTCTGGAGGTTAATACAGGTAGAGGCCCTTGAAACCGGATCTCAGGAAAGCCACACATTTTTTTCCCTGGGTCTGGTTAAATGTTCTTCCCTTGCTAAGTCAAGTTTTGCTTCTACATACTCACACAAACATATTTGAATTATTGTTTTACTTCTCAAATAATAAAATAAAGAAAAGGTGTGCTAATATTTTAGATAAAAAAAATATTAATTCCTTCACTATGGGATGCCACAAATCTTTGATTTAATTTGACCAAGATTGATTTCAAAAGTTACATGAAAATAATAATATATTTATGTAAATAAATATAATTAAAGATAGTCAAGGCTATTTATTCAATCAGACAATAATCATTTATGAATTCGTTACTTCCGTCAAATATCATGACTCGCTAGAAGCTGCTGGAACACCAACAAGCCAAACAAATTCACTTTTAGAATATTTTCAACTTCTAAATACTGTAGTGGTGTATTTAATTAATAATTTTTTTTATTTAAAGTATGAATACAACAATAGTTTCTATATTTTGTGAATTAAGAAGTAAACCAAACATTCATTTTGTGTGTGTAGAAACAAATGTTGATGTAGTTTTCTTGTAGGCTTTAGGTAAGATGGATAACTTGGAAGCCAGGAAACTGGAAAATACTCAAAACTGGTTCAGTCTTGTTCCCAAGGGTCCCAGATTTCAAGGTCTATACCTGTAGTACGACCAAAATAGCTGTATTCAAGCCGTCAAGGTTGTATTAACCATATACCTACAATACTGAAGGTTACCAGTGAGACTACAGTAGCCATTGTCTGAGTAGTGTTGTTTAACCTATACTAGAGATTACCAGTATGCCTACTATAGTCTCAGTAGCCAAGCAAAGTTAAACTAAATGTTATTGATGAGATTACTGTAGTCATAGTGTAATTAAACATGTACCCTGTACTTAAACTCTTAGAGTTATTAGGTAGACTACAGTAGTCATAGTTTGAGTAATGCTAATAAAGGTAGTTTAGGCTGAGCCATTAAACACAAGGTTGTTAAGGAAACTACTGTACAGTACAGTATTTAATATGTTGTGATGTTCTCAGTGGAACTCATTTTCATTGCTTGGTGATGGTTATCTTGAGAAGATTGTCATCATTGTTACACCCGACATTGTAGCCACTGTAGGGTTTTGCTTATGGTAGAAGTGGACAAACTCCCTGCTTTGCAGGACACATTAGAAGTTACAAGTGTTTCTGTGAGCCAGATTAGAGTATTCATATGCAACTAAGGTTAAGTTTTGTAATAATAATTTAAAAGTTTCCATAATGCAACAGTGAACCAGTTCAATTATAAATTAATTATAAGTTCTGATTAACAAGGACTATGCAGTGGTTGTTTGGGCAGGGTAAATGTTAACATGGACTGTAGTTTGCATACCACAGACTAATGGTGTAAAATTTATTTGGGTTCTATATGCAATATGACATTTTTCAATTAATAGTGAGATCTTGTACAGTACTTAATTAAAGGTGGGGGGTCCTCACTATATGTCAGGGATGCGAGGAATTTTCCCCATAAAATTTAATGTAATTAGGGGTATATGCATTCCAACATGTAGGTACAGTAATACCCTTTGAGAGCTAAGGATGCATTCTTATAGAGAGCAGTTTCGGCAAATGAACTTACAACCAGTGGCAGATTATTTTCACAACTTTTATTATCTCTTATATAACAATGGCAAGTGCACAGCCTTCTCACAACTAACAAGTGCCTGCGTGTTATGGTGATTTCTAGACTAAGTATTCTCCCACACACAATATATCCTTACCCTCTTATTTTTTCTTGTTTTTTATATTTCTGTACAGTATACATTATTTTCTTTTTTCATGAGACACACTAGCGCATTGAAATGATTTTTCCACTGATTCAGTGGTTACTTACATAATTACAGTAGGGTCTCGGAGTATGCGAGGGATACGTTCCTGGGATCCCTGCAAAAGTGTGAATTCGTGTACATTATACAGTATCCGGGTCCCCCTGTATACTGTACTGTATATACATATAACCCCTTTTTATACTAAAGTAACAAACCCACAGTATGAGATTTTTTCTTTTTCTCACCCTCACCACCACGAGCACTGCCACTAATTTTCCTCTTAGGGGCCATGATTATGGTAAAATTCACCAGTAAAGAAAAACTTTGAGTGTGAATGCTTGGGAGATGTGAACAGAAGAACCAATGAATTACAGGTACTGTAAATTTACAAGCAATATTTCAAATCAATTTATGATTTGTTTTGAATAATTAGATATTTCATTTTACCATTGATGTAATTCATGCAAAATAATTAATTTCATTGTGAATAAATCTAAATTAAGTTATGATGTACTGAGGGTTACTAATTGGCTAACCAAAAATAACTATTAATTATCTAATCATTTTGTTCTGTATCCCAGTTTACGAGACTCATAGTACTTGATAGAAGAACTGTACGTATGTCATTAACCAGTGTCATTTGCTTACACTAACATTTTTTTATGACATGGCACTGTGTATACAGTACATTATTATGCAGTTGAGCAAATGTTAGTACAGGTACAGTAGTATATCTGTCTACCTTGGGAGTGCAAACTGTCCAGATTTATAATTTTTTTTCGAATTTTGGAAATATTAGAACTAGAATACTGTATGGACATAATAATATGTAAATTACGGAAAAATATTCTGAATTTTAGAGGATGAGGTCTCCATACAGCTGCAAAATATGTAAAATAAAAAGATAATAAAATATACATGACCATCAGTAATTAAAAAACAAAAAAACTTAAATACCTGTTTACTTGTATTGTAATTGTAAAAGCTATACTGTACTGTGCAGGTATTTATAAAAAAAATTTGTAATAACATAAGCTGATAAGCATCAGTACACTCTTAGCCTGACCCACTCAATGCAATAGTTCTCAACACTTTTAAACACTACTAATCTACTGTGCTACATATAAGTACCTGTAACATTTCTTGCTATATTCTTATCATTTTACTACCACCACCTATTCGAACATTAAGACTATAGGTTAGTCATGCCACTCAAATACCTGTGTCACTTATGTCGGGTGTTGTTCATTACCCGGTATGTCACTGAGTGTTGGGAAAATGAAATAACGTTATATACTCACTGTATTTTTATTAATGTATCCACAGAAAAAGTTGTGTCTGTAGGATTAATTTTATTTATTTATATCTCATTTGAGCTCTGGCACTTCAGTTTTAAAATAAAATTACAATAGCTGTGCTTTTTGTTTCTTTAGGTTGTAGATTGTGGAGGTCCTCATCCCATACTCCTCATTCAACTTCTCTGAGGTTCCCTTTTCCAGTTTCTTCAGTATTGATACTTTCTTCATAATAGTAAGTGTTTAAATGCTTCATCTTTGCTGTTTTCACCAGCCACAGTACAAGTTGCCTGCCTTTTAAGTTTTTTCACAAAGCTCAAAAGGTGTTAAAAATTAAAGGGAATAAAAAGTCCACAGGACTCTATTCAAACAATGAGCATGTTGAACCAAAATGCCAACCTAAATGTAGCAATACCGGAAAATAATCTGGCACATTCTAGCCATACAACCCAGATGTGTTTGAACTTAGTCATATATTTTTTGACCACATTAAAATTGCTAATTTCCAAAATTTATGGACATGGATAATCGATACGCTCACTGTATATTCACTCATTAAACTGCTCCCATCACTTTGGACTTATCATCAAATTAAGTTTGTTGGGTAATTCTAAAGGTTGCAATTTATTTTTGTGAGGGGAAAGCTGAAAAACACCAATATGTTAAACAGTACACCTTCCTATACTAATCGGTATACAGGAGTGTTTGAGGGATGGTAGACCCTAGAGAACTTCTGTTGTCTTGTCACAAATGTCTTACATTGCATTGAGAGGAAGGATATTATTTTTAAGGGCAAGACTATCTCGAGGCCTAGCTAACTGGCATTCATTTAAGGCGCAGTGTACTGGGGGTGCCATTTTTTTTTATTTGGCGAGAAACAGTAGGCTAGAAGCATTGTAAGTCAGCCCCTTACATCCATAATTCCCCTGAGTTTACCATATGCACCACTTACCAAGATGTGTAAATGTTCAACAGCTGCTTCCCCTTACAGTTCAAGTGAAAAATAGAGAGAAAAATTTTTAATTTAGAAAAGAAAATTTAAATATTAGATGAACTTGACCATGAAGTGCTTCAGTTATGGCTCAAATAGTAGATTCAAGGCTGGCAAAATATTTATTACTATTACAGTGGTCCCTCGGTTAACGAGCGCCTTGGTTAACGAGATTTCGGTTAACGAGTTACCTTCCATAAGATTCTTAACTTCGGTTAACGAGCAATCTCTCGATTAACGAGTTTCTTATGAGCCGACCTGAACATGTTTTCGCTTGCATTTGGCGGTCCACCAGCTGTAGTATTAGTCCGCCAGTACAGTAATCGGTTCTAGGGCTTAAATTCCTTACCATTTTAGTAAATATCAAGAAGTTTATACTATTCAATAATTTTAAAAGTATATTATTAAATTTTTTAGTAATTTTAATAATTATTGAACATAATTGAAGGTAAGGAAACTAGTTTCATGCGCGCCATCCAGCCTGCCAACACACCATACAGGCATCAGTCTTTGTGTCTTTTCAGTGGAGGTAACATCTTGCTTGAGACTCTTCAACTAAATGCTTTTTTTCTGTTTGCAAGCAAATTATTGGTCATTTTGAAATTTATTTTACATATTGACAATATATAATGCAGTGCAGTGTTGATTTAAAGAAAATAATCTTGAATTACACCAAGAGAACTAAAATTTTATAGGTGAAATGGCGCCATGGGGTGACTTCTCTCCCACCCCAATGCCTTCTCTTCTCCTCCACCCCCATTCTAATTCCCATCATCATCATCATCATCATCCAGGAGCCTTCTACATACACACCTCAAAGTAAGTGTACTTTTCTACCTTTTTTGTTGAATTTAGGCAATTTTCGGTGAACTGGAACCAATTACCCCAAAACCCATTGAAACAATGGTTTCGGTTAACGAGCAACCTTCTAGAACGGATTGTGCTCGTTAACCGAGGGACCACTGTACTGCATACATTAATGGAAGCAAATGTCAACAAAGCAAAAAAAGAAAATTATATTCGGTGAATACAAAGTACAGTACGTATATGGTAATATTCAGATTTACCATTTAAAAACAAAACATCAATGTTCCATAACATACAAATATTTCTATGAGCATCCAGTACAGTAACTGTTCTCTCCTGCCAATACAACATAAAGGTTTTACTTATCTTTAAAGTATCGGCATTAAATATTCACAATTACCATAAGAAACAATACTGCATTATAGTTCTTTAAAAATATAATAGACAGTATACTTGATCTTGGTGGTACAGCGTCAACACGTGTACCTCTTATCAATGGGTTTGAGCCCTGCTTGGGCTGCACAATATAGGAAGGGCATTATCCAAATATCACAGGTTTCCTTTCTGTACACACATTGGGCAGACCAACTGCCCAAATGGCTTGTAAGCTGATGATAAAAATAAATCTTTGTAGGCAGGAGCTATAAAATAATTTTTATGATCATTAATAAATTCAATTATGAATTATTGATATTGATAGTAATTGATAATGATGATAAAATAAAGCCATAAAATTGAAATTAAAAGAATAAATGTGTGACAAGAAGCGACTGATTTAAATTAGCCTATGACTTGGAGAGAGTAACCACGCTTCCACAACAACACAGAGTGCTTATTACCCAATATGTTCTTATTCATTGGCTTCATTCTTGTATTTTTAATTATTATAAAACAATAAAAATCTTTGTACAATTAGATAAAACTAAATTTTTTTAGGTATGTAACCATAAAATTATTTTATGATAACTACACAGTTAAAATCCTACAGAGAATGTTATTCATTAAATTAATATTAATTCCTCATAAAACAATGAAGGTTGTCATGCCTAGCACTGACACAACAAAAGCAAGAAGTGGGAAATAGGTTAACAGCACTTGAATAAAGAATGAGAAATGTAGCCAATTGCTAATCACTGACTTACCATTAAGCCATTCATAAGTAATAAAGCAATAATTTAATGAACAAAGCTTGATAAAGATATCATTTCTTGATAATTGAATTTTTTTTTATTCACTATACATTACTGTTAAAAGATTTTGTGACATAAAAGAAGATGAAATTTTTTTTACAAGAGGTTTACTTCCACCTACCGGTAACCCAAATCTTGCCATAATCAATCTTTCTCACAACAGAACTGCTAGATACTTAGCTGAATTCCCAACAGAAAGGGGTTATAAGTCCTTTATGTAGTTCGACTGAGGCTCTGCTCATGTTGAGTTATACAGTAACTACAGTATGTTGATAAATTTGAATCCTGCCTAAACCGCAGTTACCAATATTACTTGACACGTATGTCTTTTCAAATTAATAAGTTTATACAGTATACTGTACTTCACTTTAATGGGCTCAGTGTTATTTCATAAAATTAATTATTATAATACAATTACTGTGCTGTACTGTATAATATAATCTTACTTTATTCATATAAATTAATTCACCAGGATTAAAGTGATTTAAGAGAAATAGTTACTGGTAACGCGATTCAACCTGGTGAACAAATCTGATGTCACTTACGTTAAGACGAATTATAAATAATAATCCATCACCATTATTTATATAAGTGAATTATGGGGTTACAGGATATATTAATTTTACACAGAAATCCAAGACATACCTTTGACAAATAAGTTACGTTCAACAATAAATTATCACGGAAGTCCACTATGCATGCAAATGAAGACACTATAGAGCTCCTGTTGTCAAACTGCGAGTAGCAAGATTTACCAGTCACAAATTCTTGGTGTAAATATGCAAAATTATTTCTACACAATTTATGTGGCGAGTGTTGAACGTGTGGAAGCCATCACAAATGAGTGGCTACACGCTGCGATGCACTATCTCCAATGATTATTTCCAGGACAAATTTGATTTCGCTTCATCAACAGAAATAATTGTGAAAATAATACAGTACCGACTACTGTATTACAAAAACTTATTCCTACCACTTTTGGGGGGCTTTTCATGAAATAAGAAAGCATTTGTCCTCTATAAAATAATTTTTTCCTAGAGTTGCTGGTTAACATGCATAACCATTACCCAATACTGTACCGTGTTACCACTGAATCTGTGAGTCATTAGGTCAGTAGGAGGCAGCATGGGTGTGCTATTTTCTTATTTTGTGCCATTTTTTGTACCTAACACTACATTTATGATTGTCATAAATTAAAAAATTAGGAGAAACTGTTGAAATATGGTTTATTCAAAGCAAATGTTAAAGATAGTATAAAGAAAAGGGTTAAAGAATGTGAGTTATTCTTTGAAACAAATGTTTGCTTTCATATACTGTTATTGAAAAGAGTCAAAACGTGATTTTTGTTACAAATTTTTTTTTCATTTACCGTGTACCTGTAGATACTATTGTATTGCAGTGTACTCACTTTAGCTAAGATGTATTTTTCTTTCATACTTATTGTGCATATAAGCAGTTGATATATAGTATTCAGGGAAAAGAGAAAATATGCACATGCATCATATTGTGTATTCAAAATCAATACAGCAGACTAGATTACAGTAAGTACAGAAATGTACTATATCAGCATTTTTTGGTAATACCATGAAGGCAAAAATAGGAATTTTATAATATGCCATATGTATATTGGTAAACAACTTGGCTATTATATCTTAGAATAAAATAGTTCATAAATCATCTAATTATGTAACCTGAAAAAATTTATGAGAGTGCTCAATGTACAATCTTGGCATCTTCAGTGTACAGTATATAACTAACAAAATTCTTCAAGTCAAAAAAAGTAAAAATCTTTTATCATTAGGAAAATTTATCTAAAAAATATTATTAAATTCATCTCTCTGAGGATGAGATAAAACCCTAAGTTTAATTGCGACTAATCTTTAACTAATTAACTGACTATACTTGACTTTGGCCCGTGAAGACATTACTTGTTTTGAAAATTAATTTATTCACAGGGAAGCATTTTATCTCTAACCCTATAATTTGTATCTACAGTTTTAAAAACATCGTCATGTCACTTTGAAGTTGCAGCTAGGCATATGAATAATATAATGGGGGGTTTTACACCATTAATGAAGGCGCTCCACATGCCCCTTGCTGTAATACTGCACAGCCAGAATGATATGATACTATCTAATATATGTATTTACATGAGCTGAGAATCTGAAGCAAGTTTATAAGGTTACAATAATAAAAAGGTAAAATGTCTGAAACAATTGCTTAACATTTTCAATTAATCAATATGAGCATGCCAATTAATCACACCACACGGTTTTACAGATAAGATGTAAAAAATAATTTAGTAATATTGTTAAATTCCTGTTATTGTAACTTCTTTCACCAACAACCAAATCTCTCTTAGTCTGTAGTTAGACTGAACTACCTATTTTCATCTTTTATAGTAAGATTCCCACTACTCAGCACTTGACAAGAAATGAAGTTATGGATTATTCATCAGCATATTTCTGTACACACAAACCTTATTTTTAGCAATGTTGGGATTATTTTAGCAGTTCCTACTCCTAACATTGTACCAGCAGAAAAAGCCAAAATATACATATTGAGCATATATAGTTCATCTACAGTAAAGTTACTACTGTCCCCAAGTATGTGTTTCCTGTACATCTTCCTTGTCGAACTCATTAAGCTTGTTAAACCAGGATTCTGCCTTTGTTGACCTGGTTAACTTACGGTCCAGTTTTTCAAGCTTTCTATCCATTTGTCGAGTCGTTTCTTGCAGTATGTTCTGTAAAACAACAAACATGTGTGAAAAAAAAAAAAAAAAAAAATATATATATATATATATATATATATATATATATATATATATATATATATATATATATATATATATATATATATATATATATATATATATATATATATATATATATATATATATATATATATATATATATATATATATATATATATATATATATATATATATATATATATATATATATATATATATATATCTGACATGGTAGTAGAGTCCGATATAGGAAAAAAAAAAATTAATAAAAATCTAATGAAATACAGTACAGTAAAAGTAATGAATAATGATGAATGGATACAGTACAGTAAGTAATAAATAATAAGGAATGGATGAGTGTGACTGAGCACTTAACCTTTAATGTAGCCAGTTGGCTGATGCCATGGGGCTCCAATTTCTAATTATACATGGAGACTACATTAACTGGAAACGTTCAGTATAGAAAATGCATGTGTCATTTGAAGAATTTTTTAATCTATATATCGAGAATTAATAGTCGACGTAAATGAAAGTCACGTGAGTCCAATTAGGTTGTGTGATAATATATATATATATATATATATATATATATATATATATATATATATATATATATATATATATATATATATATATATATATATATATATATATATATATATATAAAGTGTGCTCTTGATTGCACTTGTCGACTAACATCCTGCCAGGGGATGGAGTCCCTGACTAGTTGCTAAATTAAATGAACCCAGAGATGAGCACCTGCCTAATCATCCAGTGTTAACTCAAATAATTTCTCTAACCTCCACTGATACACTAAAGTGAATCACGAGTACAGTATTTGTAAAGAAAAATTAATTAGTCATGCTCTTCGGCTACACATGCAACAGTGAAAAATTAGAATTCCAAGATAAAATGGATGAAAATCATAAAAAAATAATAATTGTTCTTAATTTAAATAAAATAAAATAACCATGCTCTTTATCTAAACATGCAAAACTGAAATACTTTTATCAGAATTTCTAAAATGTGAAAGCACAGAAGACACCACAGAATATTAAAGTGACCTTTTTGAATATATTCTAAACATATTATACAACATTCAAGCTTTTACTCTGCAACAACAGAATACAAAACGGTATTACATATTTGGAGTAAAAAGAGGAAAGTTGTCCAAACAAAATAAAAATTAATATATAAATGAGTCTGAGTGACAAAATTTTTTTTTGCTTTGGTAGTACAGTGTATTGTATAATAACAATTACTGTATTCATGTACAGTAATCCCTCGGTTAACGAATTACCTTCCATAAGATTCTTAACTTCGGTTAACGAGCAATCCCTCGATTAACGAATTTCTTACGAGCGCTCCCCAACATGTTTTCGCTTGCATTTGGCGGCCCACCAGCTGTAGTATTAGTCCACCAATACAGTAATCGGTTCTAGGGCTTAAATTCCTTACTATTTTAGTAAATATCAAGAAGTTTGTACTATTCAATAATTTTAAGTTTTATATTAAATTTTTTCGTCATTTTAACACTTGTTGAACATAATGGAAGAATAGGAAGCTAGTTTTTTGTGCGCCAAACAGCCTGTCAACACACCATACAGGTGTCAGTCTCTGTGTCTTTTCAGTGGAGGTAACATCTTGCTTCAGACTCTTCAACATAAATGCCCTTTTTTCTGTGTTTCCAAGCAAATTATTGGTCATTTTGAAATTTATTTTACATATTGACAATATATAATGCAATGCAGTGTTGATTTAAAGAAAATAATCTTTAATTACACCAAGTGAACAAAAATTTTATGGGTGAAATGGTGCCATGGGGTGACTTCTCTTCCACCCCAATGCCTTCTCTTCTCCCTTCTCCTCCACCCCCATTCTAATTCCCATCATCATCATCATCCAGGAGCCTTCTGCATACACACCTCAAAGTAAGTGTACTTTACTACCTTTATTGTTGACTTTAGGCAATTTTCAGTGAGCTGGAACCAATTACCCAAAAACCCATTGAAACAATGGTTTCGGTTAACGAATTTTTCGATTAACGAGCAACTGTACAGTACTTGTACACTATAAACATTTGTTTTAAGAAACATAGACAAAACAAGTTTGGCAATGCATCTTGATGGGCTACTGCTCAATGAGCAATAAACAACCCCCCACTCTTTCTAATAGTAGAAAAAGGGTGGAGGTGACAGGGAAGGGGTGGTGGGCACTACCCAAATATTGAAAACCTAAGTAGTTTAATATAGAATTAAATTTTTATCTTTTATTCCTTAACAGTTTTATTTATTTTTTTTTAGTAGAAAATGTAGTTTTTTACAAACATAAACTGTATGTGAAATGATGTTTATTGTAAATTTGCATATCATGGTTAATATTTATTGCAACTTAATCTTTATGACAAAATGGTTACTTATTGCACTTTTCTTCTTTTTCAATGCTCTTTAAAAATGAATACCATGTGCGAGAACCTTGTAGATGTGCAGAGATGCGTCAGTTGACACAAGACCATGAGAGGGCGAGCGTGCACCCACCTTTCAATAAATCAGTCATGACCACAGTTTTCATTTATTAGATGCTTATTGTTTTAATGCCATAAGAGTAGTAAAAATAGGTGTAAATGGTGGTGGTAGATCAGTGGTTCACAAATAATTGTATGTACAATACCTGTACAGTATATCGTGTTTTTTTTTTATAAATGTTCCTGTATGTAAAATCACCGCAAGTACCCTCAATATTCCCAGCCAAGAATATATTGTTAACATAGTACATTATTTCTTGTGGGAAAATTGGTTGTGTTTATCACAATTCTACCTCCCTGGCAATAAACAAGGACCACCTGTATAAGGATACATCACATTCCTTTTGGTGGGGAGTGCACCAATATTGGCCAGCAAACTAACATGACTGCATAGTCTCCAAGGACACCACTGCATTTGGTTAAAGATTTATCAGTGCTTGGAAGTGACGTTAAGTAAAGGTGGTGACACACTGGTTACTTTCCTCCAAATATGTTGTCCGTTTTGCTGGTCGCTGGCTTGATGGCCCAGCAAGCAGCAGGATTTGTTGGCCGAGTTAGTGGTCAAATGAGCTTCAATTAGGTGAATATTCAAGTAAATTTTGAAATAAATCATGAAACAATGATATTTTCAAATGTAACACATAAAATGGTGACATGTTTCTATTTATTTGTCACTTTAAATCTTTTTGTATTATTAAATTATTATTCAGGGTCTTTGACCAGCCAGCCACCGCCACTTGTAAACAAACTTCGCAACACACCTATTGTCTTTTCTTAAGCTTTTGCAGATGCCTCATTTGTTTCAACAATTGAAGAACTATAGCTCAAGACTACAAGCCCTCGAATGTAGTAACGGGATCCATGGCGAACCTCGTCTAGACCCTTTGTTGTTGTTTTCGTTGTGTTGGGCAGACGCACCAACAAAACATCCCAGTGTGATGCAAGCGTCTCTTTGTTTTGCTGGCCGGACCGTGTTTGCCCAACGTGTTGAGAGGAAAAGTGCTCAGTGTGCCGCCACCTTAAGAATGGCATGATGCTAAAAGAAGTTATGAAGAGAACAATCAATGGGATGAGAGGAATTGGAGATAGGCAGTACCATATTATCGACTGAAGAAATGTAACCTTGGAGACAATACTTCCTTCATTATTTTCTGACATTAAAACATTGTCTTGAAATAGAGCAGAATGTTTTAAAATTCAAGGTAGAGATATGATTTAACAGAGGGCTAAATCTACTAGGGTGGAAAAGGTAAAAAATGGTTTGAAATGAAAGAGGAGGCAATGGGTGTAAGTTATGGAGTCGTGGAATCAGTGATGAGGTACACTAAAATGGTTTGGTTATGTATGAAAGATGTACAGGGGCACTGTAGCATATTAGTTGGGTAGAGAGATTGTTTACATCTTGGATGCAAGAGATGGAACACCAAATTAAGGAGAGAACAGGGGAGGTTTCATGGGAAATAGAGAAGGCAAGGGAGGTTTGTATTGACAGGGCAGCCTGGATGCTCTTGTATTATGGTTATGCCCACAGAGGAGTTTCCTGGAGAAGTGAGGTGCCACAGAAAGTAAAGATGAAGGATCTTAATTAAGGTCTTACAATCAGAATACAGTATAGTCCAGTTTTATTAGAATCCTTATTTTTTTTAAATAATAATACTATTGAAATTTCAGCTTTATATATACAGTACTTGTAATATCTCGAAGTACAGTATCTTCATTCAAAATGTTAGTAAGGTAATCACTGGCTTACCTTTACCTGGAAACTGGTCCCCTCTTCAAAGGACAAGCTTTGCATAGCCAGACAACTTTGCACACTAACCAAATATTTTTGTTTTTTTCATATATTTTCTAAGCGCAGTATAAGGTTGGAGTGACTTACAATGGATCTAGGAGGAAGCAATACCCAACAGCACTCCTCCACCAAAGCTTGTGGCCAACACTATGTTCTCGCGGGCAAAGCGCACCGCCTGAAAAGATGGAGTTCTTACATTCAACCTATCGCCTAAAAAAAATTTATTAAAAATAAAAAAAATTGCTCTAACTCTTCTCCACTTAAATTACGTTTGAAAGATATTAATATGCAACAAAATTTCATGCACTTATAACACAAAAGCTAAAAATACAATCCAAATCATAAATTTCCTGAAAGACATACTTAAATAGATACAGTATTTAGTTATAGTCTAACTTCAGTGCCAAATTTTAATTAGAACCAAAACTTGACCAGATTCAGAATTTTTCAAAATTATGCAGAAGGAATGTGACTATTTAAGAGAAACTTCTTCATTAACCCTTGTGACAAAACTCGAGTCCATTTACACAACTGCAACCTGCATTATATGAAAATAGTCTTTGTCATCATGGAAGATCCATGTTTGTCACTGTTAGTGGCAGTCTGCCCCCTGCCACCCACTAGATCCTCCCTCCTCCCCTCAAACACTCCACCACAGCATAACTTTAATTCAATAAAAATATAACATGCTCCTAAGAGTTAATATTTTTGCACACGGCTGTAAGTAGGTTTTCCAATAGCCACAGTCTAAGGGTTAAGACAAAATGAAAAAATCATGATACTGAATATGATGTCTTAGAAAACTAAATAGCACATAAGTAAAGGTAAATGTACTCGGAATTATAAGCCTGAAGAATGAATTATAAGCTATGAGTGAAAGAATGCACTTGGTCACACTAAAGCTCTTCTCTGAGATCTGAAGGAAAGTAATTTCCTTCCACAAGGACTAAAATCAAAGCATCTATAAACACGGAAGAATCCATAAGAGATCCAACTTGAGCCATACACAGTATTAAAAAATCCACAAGGATGAGTCCTTAAATGTACAGTATATTTGTATATAAATTACTCATTGTAGCAAAGTCAACCTTCCAATACCCAACAGCTTAAAGAGGAGTACTGTTGCTATTGCTTCCATCCTCCTCTTCAGTCCACTAACTTGAGTCTATACAAAACATGAAAACTTCAATATATTTGTTCACATATTTTTTAGCTTTTAGTTTGTGTACAAAACATATTGAACATATCAATAATATAAAAATTCAAACACATTTGAAAGACACACTCATGCATTAAAAGTTCTGCAAGCAAAAACAATTACTGTACATGGGGGTCCTCATTATACTTAGTACCGATACACGTCCCTAACAAATATCGGAAGAAATTTTCATTATATATGTCAATTGTTTCATATATACATCATACGTCCTCATCTGTGAGCTCTGTCTTGGAGCATCATGGCATCCCCAAGGGTCTTCTTCCTATCTTTCTTAAGCTTCCTTGCACAGCGTACAAAAGTGTTTTGGCTGCAAATACTGTACTGTAACCCATCGAAATGGCTTCCAGCACCCATCAAGTGATGCTAGTGTTGTGAAGAAACTAAAGCCCATATGCCTTGCTATGAAAATGGATGTTTTAAACCATTTTGATGAAGGTGAATGTGATATGGACATTGGTGTATCAGTGGGCCTAACCCCCACAATAGTGCATAGTATCCAGAGTAACACAGACAAGATTAAGACTCATTGGTGAGTACAATAAAAAATTGTTTTATCTTCTTAATTAACCATTAATTTAGTTTGTATTTATTTTTATGGGGCAAAAGGAGGCAGGGGAATGTAACCACATCATTAAGTGAGGACTTGCTATACCCCTAATTACATTAATTCTTTTGGAGAAAATTCGTCATTATAAAACGTCTCACTATAAGTTGCGTTTCTCTGGAACATGTCCTGACGTGTAAACAAAACAAATTTAAAGAATGCATTTATTTTGATAAAATTTATCCAAGCATTATTATAATTATTGTGACCATAATTTTGAGTGGTTAAGGGGGTTGCCATAACATCAAGTGAAACCACTGCATTAAGGTATATTTCCTTAAAATGTGACAAACTGTTTAACACAGTAACACACAATAAACAAATAAGTTGGTGCTGCAATGCATTTCGAACTAAACTTATGAAATATCATAAGCATTCATTTCATTCTCATGCAGTCTACAACAGAAAATTTTAATATGGACAACAAACACATGGACTAAATGAGAGAGATGCAGCAAAAAATAACTTAACAAACCTCATCTCCAGCTCTAGCATTTACAGTAGACTCCACTTCCTGTTTAAGCTTCTTGGCATTCTTTTCAAGATCTCTATTCACTCGATTCCAGTCCACCTAGAAAAAATAATTTTGTAGCAAGAGATCAAACTGTAATTATAATTATGGGAGCTGTTAGACACTTTAAAAAGACAACCCCAGAGAAGAACTAAATCAGTCAGGTAGAAGTCAATCCATTAAAACTTAGTGACGACTTTATCACCTGCTGCAGCAGGAAATAAATGTCTGGAAAATGATCGAAAACATAGTAATTAAAATATATTCAATGATATATGAGCCAAGAACTATTCCAAAACAAAATAATTACTGGGCTCATGCAACAATCTGCATGCAGGTAAATGAGGCCTTGGAGAAGTTCAAAACTACTGTACTATTACAGTATTGATTTTCTTGATGATGTGGTACCATTAAAGGAAATAAGAATAAAAACTAGGACTGGATCCTGGATGAATCGTGGGATATAAAATCACAGATCAACTTGCTCAAAAGATTAAAAGGGACAGATATGATGATGAGTTACATGAAGAATTTCAAAAAATAAGAAACAATGTACAAAGATAGATATAAAGTGGGAAAAATCAGACTGAAGTACCTAAAACAATATAACCGAGGAACAAAATAACCCCTCAAAACACTCTGGCAGCAACTAAAACCCCAGCAACAATGAAGTACAATACAGTACACTAGATTAAGAGACGGACACCTTTAAAGCTTAAGATAAATATTCAGAAGAAAGAAAAAGGTGCAATATAGCGCAGTATCTTTATATAAGGTATAGGACATTGACTTTCAATACAATATAGTACAGTACCTTTATATATCCTTTATGGGCTGCCAGTTGCATAATGATGAGGCTACCACCTACAACTGTTGCTGCAACTTTGCCCACCTTCATTGATAAATATCCCACCACCCTGGAAAAGGTAAATGATTTGCATCTCTTTTACAGAACTTCTCTGTATCCATTTCACATCACAAACTATAGAATAACCTCAGAAATCCAGCACTGATGTGGCTGTGATCCTAATGAATTTGTGAATTTAAAGTTTTCTAAACGTGTCGCTCTCCCAATGCCTAGCCACCTTAAAACCACAAAGCATTTGTGTTGAAATTCATAAGACCGTACTATTCAATCTATCTTGCCAGAAGAATGAATAAAAACTTATTTTATAAAATGAAAAAGGCAAACATACCCCATTTACTATGACAGCAAATATGAACTAAGCAAACCACACTGAAATTTTTTTCACTAGACAAGGTTGGTTTTGTGTCAGTTAAAATGGCTATATGGGTTGCTATCATTTATACCAGGGGTTGTGTTCCTACAAAGGACTGGTGTACAATATAAGTAAAAGTTTGTCTATAAACTATGGTTATCAAAGACAGTCAGGTTACAAAGCAGTTTCCTGCAATTTAATGTTATATGAAAAATTGGGCTTCAATATGTACAGTAAAAAATAAATAAAAAAAGTGGGTCCCAAAGGCATGACTGCCTTCGGTACAAAAGGAGGCAGCATGGCTGGTACTGCTCTCATTTCCCCAATTTGTAAACTTAGGTACCCATTTACAGCTGGGTGGAGTAAGAGCGCCCAGGAATCGAACCACTGACCCTCAGAACAGGAGGCGAGCGCTGTATGCACTCAACCGCTGCACTCCTAATGTACAGTAAACCTTCCATAAATATTGCACAATACTTTAGTTAATTTACTGAATCTGTAGTAATAAAAAAAAAGGCAAAACATTCAACCGAACAAGTGACATAAATGTGCAGGGTTGGATGGATGATACAGGGAGGCAGGAAAGCAGCAGCAATGAGCAGCCACTTTAGGTAAAACTCTGCCTGGTATGAATTAAATTTGGGTGGAGAAAAGCTTCAGTACAAGAACTACTAAAGGCAAAAAAAAAATAAAAAAATAAAAAATAAATAAATAATAATAATAATATAATTGAAGTTGGGGATGAACTGATGTGGTTGAATGGAACATGTTGCTTAACCCTTTTGAGGGTAATGGTTTCTCTCAGACAAATAAAATTGTCTGGAGTTAGCCAGAATAAAATACCTGCACCACTACCCTCAAAATGATTAATCGAGAAGGGCTCTTAAGAAGAATGTGTATAAACTGATCGTGTATGAGTTACGTGGCACAAAAACCCACATTGACTACATATTTGTGAGGATATCAGATAAGAAACTTGTTAGGGATGTAAAGGTTGGGGAAGAATATGCATTGTAGCACAGATTGCTTGTGTGTGACATGTTGCTGAAAAGGTGACGGAACGGGAGAAATTGTATGCTCCTAGAAGGAAGGTGTGGCAATTGAAGAAACAGAATCTAATGTTGCAAATTTTAGAGGAGTAGAATCAGCCAACAGTGTGCGGAGTAGTGTTTCGTGAACTGGGTCAAATAAAAGGATGTTCTGTTAAGTGTGGCTGACATGGTATTGGAATATTGAAGTGAAAAGAAGGATAAGAGAAAAGAAAAGGCTGATTTTTTTTAATACAATCATAAACTTGGGCATTTTACTTACCATCCTGACAAGCCACCAACAGCAACTTGTTTTGTGACAGGCTGCTTGGTCAGATCCTGCATAAACTGTTGGAGCCACGACATTCCACTTCTAGCAGTTCCTCTAACATCAAGAACCTCAAACTCTTCTTCGTCTGTTGGTTTTTTAGGCTTAGTCTGGCTACTTCCTCCCATAGCAGGTGTTAATCAGATATATAATGGTGTCTGAAATAATTACAATATCCATAAATCCATATTCACCTCTACAACTGTATTCTGGTTCTTATCTTTACATATTTTATCAAAATAAGTAAATCTACCTGCATCACATTTCCTAAATAAAAGTTATATCGTGTAATATTAAGTAATGATCCTGGAATCTTATTTTACAGCTGAATGGGCCACATGGTTTCAAGACTTCATCCATCAAGTCTATGGGCCAAACCCAAATTAATCCACAGCAATAACACATGACAATAATTTAGCAATTACTGGTAGTACAACTTGCCTATCATAACCATAACCATCAAAAGTGGTCAGGAAGGCAAATGTTTACCAAATAGAGCTTGTAATTTCCTCCTGTAGTGTAGGGTTTAGGCAGTAAGGGAGAAACTCTTACCGCCTAGCCCCTTCACTACATATGCCACTTTTAGTATTTGGGCAATTCCTGATGGATTTATTCAGCAGAGGGCTCCATACACAAGGGGTTAAAACCTGTCTTAATTAACTCTTTAAGGAATAGTCTTACATTTAGGTACAGATTTTAATCTGGCTAACACCAGTTTATTTTTTCAGTTGAAAGAAAACTGGAAGATAGTGAAAACAATTATTGCACAAACATTACAATTGCCCAGTGACACATGAGGTTCCTGAACTATATCCTTATACCTGTAGTATAAGCAATTCCCAATTCCCTAGGATCAGGAGCCCCCTTTAAAGTTTCTATAGGGATATTTACCTCAAGAAAATTAACAAAGTTGTGAATCCCTCGAGGTTATCAGCTCTCTGACAGCAAGCCTGGATGTAAATTTCTAATCACTTTAATTACTCTTTTGGAAATTTATACTTTGAATGATCCACATTTGGATCTGTAATTCAGATGAAAATATCTGAAGATTATAACTGCCTTAGTCATAATATTATACTGTACTGCATACACATTATGGACACAAAAATGATGAGACCCATTACCAGTATCAGTTTTATATAACTACGGTAAACTTGAAGCCCTTCAGGCTAAACCTGCATATTTTTTTATATTCTAAGTAGTCAGGCTTTTTCCAAATACAAGTCAAAATAATAAAAGTTCTTAAGGATACAAACATAGAACCCCTTCCAAGAGCATGGACATCTGGAACCCATCTAACTGAAACCAGGGCTAGGAATATAAACACCCATAAAAGCCCATCCCACATCTTCCTACACTAGGTTTTCAAATTACCAAATGATTTGTCAATTGTGAATTCAGCAGGAAGGTGCTGTTTTGGACTGAAGGTATGATTATTTTTGCTTTATTAATGGCATGTTCAGCATGGTCACAAACAATTATGTAAGTGTTGTAGCAAAGTTTCTTGGTTTTGGTAAAATTTCTATTGTTAAATGAGGCCTGCATGTATTTGGTTGCTCTTTGGTAGAAAAGGTTGAAACAGGGCAAGGATCTTGATTATTATGTTATTAGACTAGGGGGGATTAGAATTCCCTGCATTTACCCGTAGGCAGGTACAATAATCTTTAACTACCATACCTCAGGGAGTTGCAACACTACCTCGCCAGCTAAGAGGGCACTTGGAAGTCTTAAGCCCCGTCCACACGATCGGGCAGTGTCCGGCGGGCTTTGCCCATTTACCGTGCAAAGCCTGTGTGTTGTTGTACACACGGGAGTGGTTGGCGGCAGTCATAGTCGGGCGCCGGTAGCTAGTAGGTGGTCGGCAGTGGCGGGTGCGGTACGATCACCATGGTGTGTCGCAGGAATAATCGCCGGACAGTTAAAGCAAAGAGCATAGCGTTGTGTACTATAATAATTGTTGCTATGTGCAAAAAGAAGAAACAAATGCAGAAAAGGGAATGGTGCAAAGAGTGGTTAGGTCGAAGAAAAGTATTGGGAAGTCATGCCACGATTTTACGTGAACTGCAAGATGGACATGAGCTAGACTTCACCAATTACATGAGAATGGACCCCAACACCTTTTACAAACTTCTAGCCATATCCGGCAGCAAACCACCAGGCAGGCGGACCATGATTTCGCTCAATGCCGGGAACGGGCACTCCAATGGTTTGCCCGCCAATTTTGCCTGATAACGGGCATTTAGCGCGTGCCCGCCGGGCACTGCTCGGTCGTGTGGACGGGCCTTAACATATAGTGGTATGTGGAAACCATATCATAATGTTTAGGTGATAAAGTACCCAAGCTTTGGTAGGTTAGGTTAAGTCAGTTTGGTTCAATATATGAATGATTTAACAGTATAAACGACATAGATATCAGCGTAGACAGCAACATAAGTACTGTATATTGTCGATGACACTAAAATAAGGCGAGTAATTAAATCTGACGAGGACTACGCAAAACTACAGGAAGACCTAAAAAAAATTTTTGAATGGTCTGAAAAATGGCAGATGAAATTCAATGTGGACAAATGTAAAGTATTTAGTCTAGGAGATGTAAACAGAGAAACCAGATGAATAACGATGTTATAGATAAATCCGACTGAGAAAGATTTGGGAGTAATGATAAGTAGGAATCTTAAACCAAATAAACAATGTTTATTTGCTTGAAACAAGGCATACAAAGGAGTGTTAATTACAAGACTAGCGAGGTCATCCTAAAACTATATCTTGCGCTTGTGAGACCTCACTTGGATTACGCAGTTCAATTCTGGTCACCGTACTACAGAATGGATATAGAATCCTTAGAAAGAATTCAGAGGAGAATGACAAGACTAATCCCGGGCATTAGGAACCTTGAGTACAGAGACAGGTTAAAGCATCTTAACTTGCACTCCCTCGAGAGACGTACTGTAGAGTGAGGGGCGATGCACAGGCCAACCGGCCTATTGTAGACTCCTTGTTTTCTTATGTTTAAATGGAAGTCAGGGCTAAACAAAGGTGACATTACAGAGGTACTCAAACTATCCAACCAGGAGCAAAATCGTAACAATGGTTTTAAATTAGAAAAATTTAGATTTAGGCGCGAAATAGGTAAACATTGGTTTGGAAATAGAGTAGTGGACGAGTGGAACAAGTTACTAAATATCTTCATTAACTCGAATACGCTGGATAGCTTCAAACACAGGTTGGATGGATATATGAGCAATAGGAGTTGGGTGTAAATTGGACTGCCCAGTATGGGCCAATAGGCCTGCTGCAGTTTCCTCCATTCATATGTTCTTATGATGTTACTTCAGAGTTCCCAAACCTGCTGAATGTAAACAGAGGAACACACAGAACTCTATATTGATTTGTATACAGTATAGGGAGATAGAAAAAAAATGATTTATAGCATTTTTGTCGAATTATGTTTTCCTTTTTTTTTTGCTTTCCAATTTCACTTAAATAATGCAAATTTGTTCACACAAAGTGAGCAGTTTTAATTACCTTATTGGGATTTTTGGGGGGATCATTTGAAGATTAGGCACCTGGAGTTGTGTTGGGGTGCTTAAACTTCAGGTGGGTTAAGCTAGGGTGGCGAATTTTTAGGTGACACTTTGGGGAGTCTAGTCTTCATGAGATCTAATTTTCTCTACTACGTTTGTGGAATAAACACCAAATGCAAGAGAATCGATCGCGAAATTATCCCAGAATATTTTCCACCTTAACACTTGTACGTGTTAATTTTCTTCATTGTGATTTTTAGGCAACTTAGAAAAATCCTTCACTTTTCGGAAATCCAAATACCGTAATTACACTGATCTAGTGATAAAATGCATGTCATCAAACACTAAAAATGTGACAAATTGGTAATTTCTCGGACATTAATCGTAAGTGACAAAAAGTAATTGGTAATGAATGTGTAATAATAAAATATAGACCTTATTCATATACAATTCATACCTCTTCCCCCAGCTGCTCCACCTCCGCTGTTGACCAGCTGATGACCAAGCTAAGAATGGTGCACATGTTCCAATAATAATGGTTTTACCGTAAATAATAGATATCGTTGTTAAAATTCCAATTATTTAGAATAAATCAAACTCTTAAAATTATTTATATTGACTCTTATCAGATGAAAATATATTGTATATGTTCCTTTTGGTGTTCTCGACTTGTTTTACCCTTTTAAGAGTCTGCGTGGTACTATAGGTAAACATAGATTATGAACTCCTGGGAAGGTCAAAACACACTCGTGGGGGCAACTGGGAACTGAGAAAACTGTGCTTAGCTTAAAATCTTATCTTATCTGTTTTGTAGATTGTTTAATAAACGCTAGAAGAGGTCAGTATATGATATATCTAATATCAGTAAAGTATAACTGTAAATCAAAACGACGTAAGAATCATAACTGAAAATCTATAAAAATAATGCTGCACAGTTGCCAAATCTGACATATCTTTTACTATTGAAACTACTGTATTCATGCAAATTATTATATTGGTATTTAAATTTTTACGGTCACTAAATATATCTTACATTAATTCAAAAGACGAATGTTTATTTTGTAACAAGTTTGAAAGGGACGCTAAAGGTAAAATAACTGGTAGGCGGTACCTGTGGTGGGAGGCGAGCCTCAGGTCGCCCTGCACAGCACACGCAGCGTGTACTTGTAAAGTTGTTCTTGTGCAGTGTACATGCGATGTGCTCCCCGTATAGAGTTACCAGTGAATATGAGTGATTTACCTTTACAGTGAGTGTTAGTTGTACATATGGAATCAGTGTAAGTGATTTAACGGTGACGAAAATGGAGGTAACGGAGACGACGGAGGAAATAAACTTGACACCTCAAGAGTTGCAAGTTCTCTCGGAACTTGACAGGTGAGGGATACAAAACAAGTCGTCTCAGTGAATAACCTTCACTGTTTCCCTTTCGTTCACTCTTACTTTTCCTGTAAAATTTAACATTGCATGAGACTCCAAGCACCTCGCCCATAGTATGTAAGATGAGTGTGGGGACATTGTTGTTTAGAGCCTCACCGGTCACACTGTTTCCTTCTCCGGCCTTCCTTCCTCATGCCCTTCCTTCCTCATGCCCTTAATATGTGTGCGTGCAGAGGACACCACAGTGTAGAAAACATTTGACAAACATCCTTGATAGTTTAAAGCAGACAACATATCCAAGGCATCTTCATCAAAGAACATAATGTAATAGAATAATTGTATTAAAATATTTTAACTGATATGGTGCTGTAACTACTGTACAAAAGTTTTGGTAAATGTGGAGGAAGCGGGGGGCACCAGTTACCACCTTACATTTCAACAAAATTTTCCAGAATTATTGATTCTAGAGTTTTTAGTCAGGTACAGTAACACGGACTCTCATGTTACTCTAAATCACCTTAAAGATGCACTATGAGTAGCAAACTTATTTACAGTAGCTAGTGTATCATTCTGGGCTTCTGATATTTGTGAAAGATGATTTTAATTAAAATATGCATAATGTACCTAATAATCATAAGGTACTTTTGAATCAAGTTAGGTTAGTTGTTTCATGAAAGAGAAGTATAGCAGCCCTTGCATAATAGAATAGTAAAGCTGCATTTCATAGATTGGGATGAATTGTTTCTGGGTATTATTTTTCAGACAACGTGGGAATCTTATAAATTTTATCTTTGCAATCAGTTTAGACAATTCCAAGACGCTTTTCTTCTTTCATATTTCCCTCGCAAACGACTTATACAGTGGTCCCTGGTTAGGAGATTAGGTTAGGTCTTTTGTGAGAGAATCGTCATAGAAGAAAAGTGTCTTAAAATTGTCTAAAGTATTGATTGCAAAGATAAAATTCTTAAGATTCCCACGTTGGCCAAAAATAAAAATTTACCTGCTGCTGTATATATCAAGAAGCTATGTATTGCATTTTATACAGAACCTTTTCATGATGTTTTCCTGGGAGTCATACAGTACTAATACAGGTACTGTACTGGAAAGGAGCCAGGTGAGCCAAAAAGTGGCCAATGCAAACGTAGATACAGTATGTCTAATGAATGCAATAAAAGATTGTCTTCTCTGATAAATAAAACAGTACATGAATAATAAATGAATAATAGTTGGTTTACAAAAACATTGCAAGTTAGAGTTGACTATAAGAGTGATCTGAAAAATACAGTGAATAATAAGATTAGGTTAGGTCAGGTCCTTTTTGCTCCCTTTCAGTCCTTTTCGGGGTAATCTGGTTTTTAATGGACAATAAAACATGCACGCCATTATTGACATCCAGTTATAGACCGGGAACTTCCAACGTACCAGAAACTGCCACGTTATATAATTTAATGTTCATAAAATGAGCCTTACTAACCTTCGTAACCTAACTTAAATTATATAATAATACTTTATCCTCTTTGCCACTTGTTGCTTGTTAGCCGCTTGGGTGGTCGGTTACGTCTCTGTTAATCATTGTTGGCAAGTACTAGGCATGTACTGGTTCCAGGATGTAATTGTACCTGCACCAGTGTTGGTCATGTCTGGTCTTAAATGAGCTCAAACTCGGTACTGTCACAACACACTCTGGCAGATTGTTCCAAGAGTTCATGACCCTCATTTCAAGAAAGTTTGCTCTCAGAATTCCTTGAACTTGTGGCTTCTTTAATCTTAAGCTGTGACTTCTATGGAGTGAGTATCTGCTAGCTCCAAATATGGATACTCAACTGAATGATGTATCTGAGGTGAAGTTCAAATTTAGTCCATTTAGGTTAAAAAAATGTAGCACATTAGCAGTCGCTACATACTGTACAATAGCAGTTTCTGACACTTCAAAAAATTTCTAGTCTCACAAATGTCAACAAAGGTGCTTGTGATTTTACACCCATTCAGTGCAAGATTACTGTTTTCAGTATTTAGTGTGCCCCCTTTCCAGGTAATACTCTTGGTCTAAGACATGGTCGTGGATTAACCAGCCACTTCAGAAAAATTATAAAGGAAAGTATATCCCATAACACGTGGAGGAATTGCAATTTTAGTACCGGTACTGTACTGGAATTTTTTTATTTTTTTATTTTATTTAAATTTTTTTAATGACTAAATACAATCCATCTACCCACGGACCACATGTTTGCACTTGGAGTGTTAACAAATGCTTCCCAGCGACTGACAGAATACTAAGCAACTAAATGGTTCCCAGCAACCTTATTTAATATATATATATATATATATATATATATATATATATATATATATATATATATATATATATATATATATATATATATATATATATATATATATATATATATATATATATATATATATATATATATATATATATATATATATATATATATATATATATATATATATATATATTAGCCCACCAAACCTAACCTAAAATAAAATATAGTACAGTAATATACAGTACTTTCTTGGGATAAGTAGATAGGTTTGATTGGTCTTTCTTATCTCGAACATCAGAAACTGTTTTGCAAGCAGTCAATATGGCATTGCTGGGAATTAGTGGGTTGACATGTATTCATGTTGAGGAAAAAAATGTAAATTGCATTTCCTCCTCCTGTATTTGGATGTTCTTGAAATAAGAAAGAAGTTATCTTCTATGGAACATTTTTCTAAGTTGCTGGTTAACCCCTTCTGCACAGGGTTGCCTCCAAGCTAAAGCAGGACAATGTCCTAGACTACTGTACTTCACATGTACATATATTATTATCCGATTTCCTGTAGCTTCCGTACTTTTATTCTGTATTGTCATGATCTGCAGTATTTGATTTATATATGCATCATATCACTTTTTATATATACATTACTTGTTTTTTATTGCAAATTTATCGGTTTAGAAGTTGTAAGTTTTTGTTCTTATGATAAAAGGTTTTATACACCTCCATTGGTCTCATTGTTCTTATAAATTGTACAAAATCTATCATGACCTTGCTCTCTGTGCATATACTGTAGCTACTGTATATATTTACATATCTACATATATTACTTGGCAGTACCCTGGAAATTCAATTTATCTTTTTATTCAATACTGTACTGTATTTACAATTGTTTTGCTTGCTACAGAGCTGCTGCCAAAATGACGTTATTGGTAGCTACTTTATATACCATATTGTATACAGTAAGCATTTTTGGAGATAACGAACTTACTAGTTATAAGGTATAAAATAATTTCAGGTATGGTACACTGAATCTGACTCCCTTTTTAAAGTCATCATTGGATTAGGTTATGAGGGATAGGTTCCAGAAATCCTCACAAATAGCAAAATTCTTGTACAGTATAGCCAGTTACTTACCATTTTTGACCTCTGTAAACCTACCTTGTAAATGACATTTCTTCAATAAATGCCTGTAGAAGCAATGCAATGCATGATAATCATCATAATAAAGCAAAAGAATGGAAAAAAATATAGAAATAATAGTAGAATACTGTACAATATGGTAGTGTATAAATAGGAAAAAATAACGCGAGTGAATTTAGCTAAAATAACAATCGTGATGAGAAGTGGAGGATGCAGTTATGTTAAAATCTCTGCTAACTCCCCAAATTTGGTTTTATTTTACTCTTCTGTATAATGGGTATATGCAGTGCAATACAGGCAGTCCCTGAGTTATGAACAGGTTACGTTCCTGGACCTTGTTTGTAAGTTGATTTGTTCATTAGTCGGAACAGTGTTAATTTCATAGTTTAGGTTAGGTTAAAGCACAACCCTGCCCATGTAAAATGGAAAAAGGCCACAAAACAATAGTGATGAGAATGATGAGTTGTTCAAATCTGAAAACAAAGATGGGTACTGTGTTAAGAATGACTTGGGGAGAGGTTGTAAAAAATAATTAGAGATTTTACAAGAGGATTAACACCTTAAAACTAAATTGGGGAGTGAGGTTAGGTTATGTTAAGTTTGGTTTAATTGGGTTAGTATTGGGGGTGTTTAAACCCTTCACTATGGGGGATGCTACTATTAATATTTTATTTGGCTAATGTCGGACGCCTTTATTCAGCACAGAGAGACCCCCGTATGCAAGGGGTTAAACATTAGATAAAACGAGTGGAGGCTCCCAATCTTCATGAGATCTAAATAATTTATTGCAATAAATCTAAATTGCGATATATGATGATTAACTGTAATTAACCTCTGTTGATTAGTGGAACCTCATCATCTGTGAAATTACTGTACAGTACCAGTAAGGATTTGCAATAAAATCAAGGTCAGAAAGATATTTGTATTTTCTTTACTAGCTACGATTTATACCTTGTGCAGTACTGTACAGTATCACCATGATATATAAAACAAGGATTTTTTTTTAAAAAGAAGCTTTATCCATTACTAATGATCAATTCAACATTATTTGGTCACGTGAAAAATATTAACTTATATAGCACCCAGAGTCAGTGTTAGATACAAGTATGGTACAATATTCCTCACATAACACAAATGCTACATTCCTAGAAAGTATCATGCAAAGCAGAAATGTGTAGCTAAAGTAGAATTAAAATACCCAAAGGAAAACATGTAAAAAGTTAGGCTGTGTATTTTGGGGATTGTGAATAACAAATATTTTAATATTATGTTCTTAGTAGAGTACTGGAAGCACTTGAAAATTAGGCATCCCAGCTTATTTCACATTGATGATTAAACCTCCTAACATAACCTAACCCCGGGATATCATTAAGTTGTTAATCATCAGGTGAAATAAGCTGTGGTGCCTCCTAATCTTCATGTGAGCATTGCTGTTTGTATGGCTAAAGTACCGGTATATATATAAATAAAATACTGTGGATAATATTTTAATTATTCTTATTACAAAACATTTTGGTTGCATCTTGCATAGTGGTTGGTATCTCAGGGTGGGGGTGGCTGCATTCTTTTAACAAT